AGATTTGACCTGTAATCTGGCCTATGATTACAGGTTACAGATTAGTTTACCTCCATATTGTAAAGCAATCAAGGCCAAGCAATAACGTCTCATGGAGACAAGCAGGTAGCTGACCCTTCACCAAAACGAAATCTAACCATTTGCCAAAACATGCATCAAGACAGGATGTACTATTTAAACAACCAGTTTATTTTCCAAGCTAAGAGAAAGCTTAGATAAAATGAGATTTAAATTGACTGCCTCAAAAATTAACCCCTAAAACTACAGAAAAGTGATCAAATGGAAGTTTGCCCGTTTTAGTGGATCTCAGGCCCGGACCTCTGACACATCAGCCTCACCAGTGTAATTACCCCTTTTCTTCAATTGAAATATACTGTGTTAAAGGCCAACAAATGTTGAAATGGAAATGATATTTCTGCTCATTAGTTTACTAAGCATTTTAGTTCTGTTCTAAATCTTAATTGGACCACAATTGGAAATCACTGCCTCTAAATATAAAATTTACCAAAACTTTGACCTAGAAATAGTTGGATGGGGAATGGATTTATCCACAGGGATGTACTCCCCGCGTCTTGTTCACCTGTTCAAAGTCATTCTCACAAACATATGTAATTTAAGTTAACACGCATTACTTCTGGCACTGGAAAATGTAGGTCTCACTCTCAATCACTTTTAGAGCATTTTTTGAGTGTAGCTTGTAGATATCCCTGTCCTTTGCTTGTCCTTGTCCAGCTATTGTGGGCATTCTTTTCTTTTTCTTCACATTTTTTGGCTCACCTTGGTTTAAAATGGGCCTATTCAGAGCCAGGAATAACAGGGAGCACAAAATATCTATCATTTACTTTGACACTATGGACTTTTTACACTTGCAAATGTGTTCACAGCTATCCAACCCCGTAAGTGCACCACAGTGTTACCTCCAGTTGTTTCTTTCACCTCAGCAAAGTATTTCATTTGTCCACTTCAAGGATCTTATGCAGATGGGATAGAGACATCATTTTTTTTTGCATATCTTGCTCAAACAATGTGAAGTCAATCTGCCCATTACAGACATCTATTTTTACATTTACTCTAATATAAAATAAGGGGAAAAAAACAAACAAACAAGGAGCTAACTACAACAAAATAGTTTCCATTGCCATTTAGTAATTATATGTGTTAGCTCATTATCTCAGTGTGATGTGAGATCAAGTTTTGATGTGATATCAATGACATATTGAGTCTTGAATACTAATATGGTGAAATTATATGTAATTTAAATGTAATTGCAAATCTGATGACAAACAGGACGACTGAAGAATACTAATTGGCACATTTTCTGGGTAGCTAAATTTGGTTATGAATAAATGTATTTACAGTAGTGACAAATAGTGAGGAAAAAGCCCAATACTCAGTGAAATCAGATCAGGTTAGTTGCGAAAGTGATGGCTGAAATGGTAAAATTGTTATGTATAATAGTTATATTGAATATTTTGATTTATAGACATTCTTCTTGTACTTTACCTACTTTATATATATTTTTTTTTTCTTATACATGGAGGACACTTTACTTTCCTTTTACTTTATATTTTTAAATGTGTTTAAAAATATACATGAACGTTACCAACACCCTGTTCCAAACTTAACCGTAGCATATTCTATATTTCATTCTAATGTTAATGCCATGGGAGAGAGCAGGGCTTCATCAAATCATTGTTGTCCATTTATAATAATGAAAAATAAGACCAAGCATCCCACTAGAGGAAAATCTAAATTTCTATGCTTTTTTAAAACTGCATATATTTCTAGTGTTTTTAGTATGTAATGAGCAATGTCCACTGGCACATGTTAGCACATTAATATCCAATACATCCTGCTAATGGGCACTGGTGAGTTGTGGCTAAATCGTAACTCACACTAGGAGCTAATGTAATGTGATTGTGAATGATTGGGACAACAAATTACAGCCTGTATCAGTATTTCTCACATGCACAAGCCTACCCTTCATCATTTATATGCAAATAGTAGGTTAGCTCATGTTATTATTGGATTTGCAAGTCAAAAAAACCTTTTAGGAAACAGGGAACAGACCTTTCTTGGCGCTTGGACTGAAAATGCTGTATATTTTTCTTAGCAGTGAACAATAATTATATGTAAAATCACATCTTGCTGTACTCACATGGGTTATATTCAGCTATTGCACATCCCAAATGCACGGTATAAGAAATCTAAAGTTGGTCTCCTGAAACTTGTAAAACACATTTGCACTGTCTCCTCAGCCAGATGGAAATGAATTGTGGCGGTAAATTATTCCCCATTATTTGTGAAGCGAATGGATGCTTTTAGAGCTTCTAGGTGCATTAATTCATTTGACGAGGAGCAGAGAGGAGCCCTGCAAAAAAATTCATTCTTTACCAAGCAATGTGGCATTAAATGCATGGCTGCTGTAAGAACAACTGAAGTGCACTGTACTAATTAAAGATTGTAAACAAAAGGATTTTTGTTGTGGATTAGATAAGTATCATTAACTTAGTCTGTGTAACTTTTCTGGCAGAACGTTCACCAATTGCTTGTCTCCATGGAGATATTATTGCTTTGCATGGAACTTCCCACAGTGTGGCATTAAACTTATCTATCATTGAGGCAAGTAAGTGATGCCACCAGGCTAAATTAAAAGTTAGGTGCATTTACAATATAATCACCTGTAATTGAATAATGGAAGATAAATATGTTTAAGGCATACCATCTCCATTGAGACATAGCACACCTATATAGTCAGTCAAACCTAAACGTTTTGTCAATACTTTGCAAAGATTTGACTTTTACTTGTAATACCTGCAGGTTAAAATATGTCATCAACTAAATTCAGATGTATTGACTGACAGCATTACAACATAAAAACAACAAGGGTTTATAAAACTTGCAAACAGGAAATCACTGAAAATTGCTAGTCTAAAAGCCACAATTATTTTACTTTTCTCTCATCTATCTGATTGACTGGCTCAAATACAATGTTTTGAACCAGCACAAAAGCTTTTAATGTTGTTTTATTTCCTGCCATTTTCTCCTGGCTGCTGTCTCGGATGCACTTTGTCCACTTGGCCTGCCTCTGTACCTCACATGCGCTAAGGAGGATGACAGGCTGGTGATTATACTTTCAGAGCATTTTCCAAAACCTCATCTATTGTTTCTTCTTGTGCTCTTTGGCCCTGGGTCAGCGTGTGCTTCCACAGGACAATAAATGAGATGCTTTCTTGTGACGATTATGACTATGGCATTTTTAAAGCAACCAATTATAAACCAATCCACTTTACTGCCACCACTACTCACTTTATTGGCTATTCAAAGCAACTTCCTTTTGGCTTTCCTCCTTCAAGATCTTTTGTCTGGTTTGTTTGTTACACAGTGAATCATGTTTTTTTATTTTTTTTATTTTTAAGTAGGTTTTGTTAGGCTACACCGGCAAATATTTTTACAGTATGTAATATGAAATATTATCGTAAGGACTTCTTTTTATAGAATTGGCACAGTTTGTCTTTTAGATCATTCTAAAATGTGTCACTGAATAACGCTTGACTAGGGCTGAACGAAAAATATCTAATTGCAGTTTTCTGACAACCATAGAAATTATTTGCGATTTATGTTTTAATAATGGGATTCTGTTCAAAGTTCCCATTTTAAACACATCCAGAAGAATTGACAAAAAGACTAATATATTAACTTACTTTCTAATGCAAGAATGATATTTAATGTTTGTACAGATTTACAGTACAGATCTACTACAACCAAATATCCTGTCTTCTTTAAGTAAAAGGAGAAAGGATATTTGGATGCGTATGGGGAAGTTGTGGTACTTCAAAAATTACTGCTTTTCCGATTTGCTACCTCCATCCACTCAAATTGCGTTTCTGATTTTATTAATTGTGCAGTCCTACACTACACCTTTATTATTTCTGGATATGCAGTTCAAATCTGTAAATACTTAAATACTACATCCATGCAGTGCAGAATTATTCAAAGTATCATGCCGTAATGAAACACAATTTTCGTCAGAGAGCAGTACAAATTGGTTGGCACATATGTTATTTTTTTTCTTGATGGAATTCAAAACTTTTACCTTTTCCACTGCTTTTAAAAATGTCACCTATGTCAGTCATTTTAAAATGCTATCAGTTCACTACAGTGAGCTCGGGCCCCTCAAAGTGCTCCCTGTGTCCTGTAAAAGCACTAATGACAGTATGGAGTGAATGGCTGGAGCTGTTCACCTCAGGCCTGTTGCTCTCTGTGCTCTCCTGTTATTGAGGAAATAATACAGAAAAAACAGGGGCAAAGTGTTCAGGACACAGTGCAGCTGCAGCCTGCCTCCAACATATTGACTTTCTATTGTCAAATATATGCAAAGAAGAAATTAAATCAAAATGAAACCATATTTTATTGAACAGAGCAATGTTTATGTTGGTTTAAATATAACTTTAGACCTTTGAAATATTTTCTACCACTGATAGAGCCAGCCAGCAGCCACATGGAGTTAATAAAGAAAGTTAAATATGAGGTGGCTTATTGCTTTAAGAACAGAATCTGAGCCAGGTCCAAAATGTTTTAACACATTCCTTTACTATTGTGCTCTCCAAAATGTTTTCTTTTTTTTCCATAGGGCATAATGTTCTGTTCAGCCTTCAAAGGGCCACTAAGGCCCACAGAGAATACTTAGAACTTAAAGTGTTCTATAATTTTAGTTTGTGTATTGGACTATCACACTTTCCCTGGAGCTTTCAACTGTTGCTTTGAAAACAGGAGCATGCCTTGTAATCATGACCCATATAAAAGAAAATAATCTGGAGCTACTAAGTTTTTGTGAAGTAAACAAGAACGAGACAAGACATAATTGCCTTAAAAACAGATCGACCAGATAGTCGACCTACCAGAAGCAGAATTAGATGATTGTAAAGAGTCTTTTAGTCTTGTATTCAGGTGGATTTTAAACTCAAATTGTAAAAGTTATTTTCTGTTTACTTTTGTAGGTGGGATCTTTGAGACCAGGGAGAGTGAGCTGGTGAGTATGGACGAGCTGGCCTTTAAGTTTGCAGTGAACAACATCAACCGCAACAAGACTCTGATGCCCAACACCACCCTGACCTACGACATACAGAGGATCAACGTGTTTGATGGCTTTGAGGCATCCAGGAGAGGTGAGTGAGAAACAAGGATTTATTCAGAAAAATACATAGGATTTGGTTGTCTATATACTGCTTTTACTAGGCTCCACTACTACTACTACTACTTCTGCTACTATTACTTGGATAACTAATGTAGCCTTTGTAGGTTATAGTTTGGGGTGATTTTGTTGTTGTTTGAAGTACACACTAATACTACTTTTATCAATACTACTTCTATTACTGCTACTAAATACACCAGTACTACTTGTGTATCAACATTTGTACTTTCCAAGAAAAACATGGCCTCTCTCCACGGAGCTTTGGGGTGAAGACTGATACACATGGCACGGTTAGTCTCATGATTCGGTTCTGCCTGGCTGCCCCTGAACTGGGACTGGCAACATAATTGGAGCTCAGAAAACCCAATGTTCGTAAAGATGGCACCGCAAAATGTCAAGCTACTCACCCGTAAACTGCACTGCAATAGATCGTACAGGCAGAGAAGGCAAAACAGAACAAGATGAATTATTAAAGGAAAGTGAAGTAAAACAGATTTCAAATAATAGCTATATTACACGAGGAGTTGCATTGTTTTGATGCATTGTGAAAGATGCCGTAAACTAAAAAAACAAAAAAACAGAATAATCTGTAGGCTAGAGAAATTATAATGACAGCACCATTTAAATGGGCTCTATGCAGCTTTTCACTTGCTTTTTTTTTTCATGGAAATTAGAGATAGACTGAATATGAAGAGATAGCTGCACAAAACATGACTACACAGCTCCCTAATAGGTGGTAGATATATTTGTGGTAAAAAAGAGCTTGAGGGGAATTTATAGTAAATTTAAATTAATTTGTGAAAAATCTAAATCTGCCCAACATATCAGCCCAAAAATATTTGCAGATTTTATCGTCATCGGCCATGACAAAAATATATCAGTTGATCCCTTATGGAAATGTTTTTGCTTTTACTAGAATCTTCCTTATTTCTAAGAAGAAAACAAAAAGAAAGAAAAGAAAAGAGAAGAAAGAAAATAGTAATCTCATCTACTATATAAGAGGGCTTTGCTATTAGTGGAATATTTCAGACTGTACAGTAAAACAGAATGGAAATAGAAGAGAAATAAGTGATTATCCAGGTAGAAACTAATCAATAATAGATTAAACTAATTAAAGTGAGATTGTGAATACCGGTAAATTATTTCCCCTGCGGGCCTAAGCACTACTGGTGGTGAAGAGGAGAACATGGACATGCTGAAGTGGCTGAGGTGGCTGATGCCTCTGCTGCTGCGGTGGAGCTATTAGAGGAAGAGGGTTGCACACTGCCTGACCAGCCAGTCCCTTCTATGGAACTAGACAGAACAAAATATAACTTCTTACCTTTCTTACGTTTAAACCACAATGTTTGTTTTTGACACATAATGAGCATGCATCTCTCTGATCAGTTAATACGCCTGTCAATGACACCCTGTGAAATCGTGGAGATACAACAGATTTTCTCGTCTTTGTAAAGTTTTGTCAAAGCGTGTGGTTCTGGCTGGTGAGATAAGGGTGCACATGACTGAAATGGCAGAATGATGGAGAAAAGAGAAAGCATCTAACTCTTAACAGCACAATAAGTGGTTGTTTGAAAAGAGAAAAAATAACAGTGACAGTAATAAGTGGTAGGAACAAAGGGAAATTTGTTGTAATTTTAGTTTAATTTCACTAAAGGACATTAACAATTACAAACACAACTGAATGGATGAAAGAATTAAACATGTATTGACAAGTACAAATGCTACAACAACAATCAAAATTAGTCAGGCAAAAAAAGTTAAAAGTTTTTTTATTTGATACATAGATAACTAAATCTTAGTAACATTTGCATGGAATTGTGTTGTGGCTTTAATGGCCTATATTATGCTTTTACTTATCTATAATTTCCTCATCACAAACATACCTGGAGTTGTGTTTTGTTTCATTCACACATGTTTAACACGTAAACCCTGCACATTTAGGCTGATAATTTACCTCTGAACTAAAATATATCTTAAGTTTAGTATTAGAAATGCTTAAATGATACAAAAAGAACTTAGACAGACACTTTATCTTGTAGTATTATTTAAAAGTTTTGCTTGACGAAACCGACCAAACCAGAACTTATTCTTTGCAAGAGCACTGCAGCATTTTGCACAAATTTCAGTTTCTATTAAAATCACAAATTATTATTTAAAGCTTGTATTTCACACACCAGAGATAATAGGAGATATTTTGTCTTCATATGACAACGGCTAATATTCAGTATAATGAGGCACTGTCAGGCTCAAGACTGGCTAGATCGGATTGATAGCATCTTGACTCTTGAGTGAAGAAGTGCTTACCCTCCATATTTATCCAGTTCTTTTCCATTAGCTTTGCACGTCATAAATTATGTATTTAAAGTTGACGATGATAAGTATTACAGAGCTAATAAATCAACATCTGCCTGTGCCTGGTTGAATCCATCATTTTAGTGAATTGCAGTAATGGTTAGCATTTCTACTGTATCCAATGGTTCATATAACTTTTTCTTTCTATAATGTATAGGCAATTCATTAATTCTATAATGTATGTGCAATTAATCAATTACAAAATTCATATAAGAAAACAAATTCATCAATCATCATTAATTTATTTCTGTTTCTGAATTATATGGGCTTGTTCTAACCATTAAAACCTGGAGCTAAACTACACATCATTTATAATGTGCAATCATTTTTAACAAGAATCATAAAACATCATGGTAGCACTTCATAATAACTACATTTTTAATGGGTTAGGAGTTAGGGTATTAGTTACAGTAAGAGTTTACTAAGCTTGAGTCATCCTTAATAAACTATGTGTTAATTTCATGTCTTTGTTCATCCGTTACTAAGGCTGATTAAGGTTTAGTTAAGTTATAAAGTAACTGTTAAATTGTCACATTTTTATATAGTTCTTTTCCACTTTCAAGGTACTCATAAAGCCCTTTACAACAAGGAACCACTCACCCATTCACACACACACACACACACACACACACACACACCCGCATTCATACACCAGTGTACACAGACAGCAGACACTAGGGGGCAAAATTGGTTAAGTGTCTTGCCCAAGGACATAACAACAGCATTTATGTGTGGGAGCTGGAATCGCACTACCAACCTGTGGGTCATTGGATCTGACTGCTCAACCAATGATGTTTATGTTGAGTGCGGGTTTCGGACCACCAACCTTCGGATCAGTGAACAGACACTCACCAACTGAGCTACTGTCACTGTCACTTGTACTGGTATAGTGGTTCCAACATCACTAATACTAATAATACGTTCACACATTTATGACAGTAACTTAAATTGTTTCAAATGATCATGAATTTAATTATTTATTAAAGTGCAATTACATTTTTCTTTATAGTACAGCAGCTATATCTGAATGCCAGTAAATTTCAGAAAGAGACAGAAAACTGAAACCTTCACAAAATGTCTGACTTTTGTTTTCCTCTTGTTTTAGTGTGTGACCAGTTGGCTCTCGGGGTGGTGGCAGTTTTTGGTCCTTCACACAGCTCCTCGGTCAGTGCTGTTCAGTCCATCTGTAATGCTCTAGAGGTGCCCCACATCCAGACACGCTGGAAACACCCCTCTGTGGACAATAAAGACACCTTCTTCATAAACCTGTACCCTGAGTACACTGCTATCGCCCGGGCAATCCTGGATGTGGTCACCTTCTTCAAATGGAGGAAACTCACTGTGGTCTACGAGGACAGCACAGGTACGCATCTTTTATGTTACTGTCTCCAAATCTCAGCTTATATTCAGTACATTCTGCATTCTGTGGAGTACTCAATTCTAAAATGAAATTTATTCATATTAAAATATGTCAAGCATTTTTGTTTTAACATTTTAGCAAGAATGAATTTGCATTTTCACAGGCTTAGTATTGACTTGACACAAGCATCCTAAATACTGTATAAATATACACATTAATACACAGTCACATACATTTTCGTGCATTAGTTTAAAATTTGTTCTCAGTCTATTTTAAGGACTAAAGCTGGACTACTACATGACTGAACCAAGTCTTAGTCACGACTTAAGTGGACATAAACGAAGAAAAGTAGGAACGCATCCTTAGTTCAGCTACATTATGCACCATAATGCTGTGGGAGTAATGATAGTAAAAGGCATTAAAAGCTTCAAATTAAAGTCCTAAAAAGACCCTATATTCTTGCTTTGCTTTTTATTGTCTTGCAGTGAACTTAATGAATCTTTATCACCATTGTTTGTTTAATATGCTTTATAGCTAGAGGGCTAAGTCATAAAATACCTTATTATTTGACAGCTTTGGTTTCAACATTTTCTTAATTGCATCTAGGCCAGAGGGCTACTTTTATTATTTTCTAATTAAATTCTATTGCACTGCCAAATGACTGTGGTTTCAGTGCTTTGTTATATTGATTGAAATATGCACTTTCAAACTGACCTTTAACATTTTTACAATTTTTGAACAAAATTAACATATTTTTAGTGGCTAGTTTTTGTAACTACATTAATCATTTCTGATCATAAAAGAATTAATATGTGGAATGTAGAAAAAATATTCTTCACAGGTTTACTGACCTGAAAACACAGAGTATATGTCACTATCGCTCGCACAACAGTGTCTAATGGAGTCCACCTTTATGAAACTGTGAACCCAATCTCCGACAGGGCAGCAGCAGACTCCTCACAGCTCCACTCACCAAGGCCCAAACCATATCACACAACTATATCCCACGCCAGCGCTCAAATGCCACAGATTATAGATTTTTCACCTTTTATTTTTTCATAACTTTATTTCCTCCAAATGCCATGTAGACAGGGAGGCGCTCTATAAGAATGCTTTGAAAGGCTGTTTGCCATAGGCGATATGGTTGTAAAACATATCACTTTAAAGGACAAGACTATCAACAATGCATTTTAGTGGAGGCTTTATTGGATGAGTTAGCAAACTGCCTGAGACTGTCCCAGACTTGTTTCTCTGTCCTGGTGCAACATTAGAGTGAGAGAACAGACTAAAAAGATGATGCTAAAAATTTTAACTTAAAGATACATGGTGTAACCTTTCTGGTGGAGGGGCCCATCACACGCTTTTCTCTGTGGAGATGTAATTGCTTTGTCTGAAATGTTTCATAGTATGGCATTAAACCATTTTATCTACATGGAGACCAGACCAGACCAAGTTACAGATCAGATCTGTGGAGAGGTAACCCCGCTCACAGTCAGAATGACAGTTTTTTTGTGATTTTGTTTTGTTTTGTTTTAGTTTTTAGGTGTTTTTGAGCTATAAAGCCACCTGCAATTGAATACATTTCTGTTTCATTTCATTAATCTTACAGAAGAAAAGATGATTTGTACCAGATTTAGCTACTTTCTGCTACTTTCCATCTGCAGTCTCCTGGCAGGTGAACACACATTAAAAATACAGATTTCATTATAATTACATTATAAGACTAATTTAGTTCATCATTAACATTAGCAGTAAAATACAATAATATACCACTATTTCCAAGACATGCACATATTAAAGATCATTATATGCAGTTTTTTACTGTGAATACAGTACAGTACAAATTTACGTGACAGATTTTGACACACTTGATTTTCTAAAATGTGCTATTTCAAATTTCTTGCAAAATTATTAAGATCTACAGACAATTTCAGTCAGTTCTGTCTGAAAGCTAATTCCACTGCAAATTGTAGAACTTTAAAACAGAAAACCTGCATGAGGATAGGAAAGAACTTGTATTATTTTATTTCATGTTTGTATAATCAGTTTTAACCCAGTTAACATGGTTTGTATTTTCCTACAATGCAGTTTTCATCCTATTTCCATGTGTTACTGTGGTGTGAAGTGAATAGTTACCCAATTTTGATACAACTAAAGAGCAAAAATGCTTTGAACTGAAACACATAGCATTATTGTGAGATAAAAATACACACTTTTGGAACACTGAAACTTTAACATTAGTAAGTTACTATGAATCCATCTAGTTACATTTCTTGTATACTTGTTTTTGTTATATATATTGTGTATGTATTTCTGTTTAAATTTTAGGTCTAATGCGAATGCAGGAGTTGATCAAGGCTCCAGCGAAGTTCAACCTCAAAGTGAAAATCCGTCAGCTGACCCCCGGAAACCAGGATGCGCGGCCACTGCTCAAAGAATTGAAGAAAGACAAAGAGTTTTTTATCATCTTTGACTGCACCTATCGTATGGCCTCAGAGCTGCTCAAACAGGCGAGACATTTGACATTACAATAAGTACACATTTTTAATCATCCAACTCCAAAAATCCAATTCACCATGTTTGCTAGAGGTTTTTTTATTTAAAGTGCTGCTGTTTTAATCATTTTTCTATGTAATTTCTTTCTATTGGATTTCTGGATTTAATGGAAATGGCAACCTTGAAACAGAATAAGCATTTGCAGTCAGGGTATTGGATCTGACAGTTTTTCTATGTGTAAAATCTGAATTAGCCCTGTGTCATTTTTGATAATCACATCCAACTTTTCATTTTTCAGCTCTCGTCTATGGGAATGATGACTGAATACTACCATTTCTTCTTCACCACTTTGGTAAGTACTTTCTTCTTTCTTCTGTATAAAGCAGAGATACTTGGATTGTTACATGCGTGTGTTATGTAGTATGTTATGTACCACCTGTAGAATTTCTACTGCTGATACACAGGCTTCATGTGGGGCTTCAGTGTTCGGCATTTTTTGTGCTAATTTAGAGGCAATTTTATCTACATTCTTGTCCTCCTTTAGGTTATACCTTGGTTAGTACTACTGTAGCATTTTTTTTTGTTTTATTTTAATAGGTGATTTGGTCTGGAATAGTACTGTTATAGACCTGGTTGAGATCTGGTGGTACTTAGAAGAAAATTTTGAGAACCATTGCTCTAAGGCAGTGGATTTATCACACAATTCAGAAGAGTCAAATTAAATCTTCTGATATCAGTGACACCTAAATTCTCATACCTCATATTTTTTAACACTGCACAACGACAATTAAAATTTAACAGTAATAATTGTAATCATATTTAGCCATTTATAACACTCCTGAGGTATCCTATCAAAATGATCTCGTTATCTCCCCACAGGACCTGTTTGCCTTGGACTTGGAGCCATACCGCTACAGTGGGGTCAACATGACAGGCTTCAGGCTGTTGAACATCGATGACCCCTGGGTGACCTCTACCATGGACAAGTGGGCTATGGAGCGTCTGCAGGGCCCCAAACAGGACAGCAGCCTGATGGACGGGATCATGACGGTATGTAGTCCTCTTTATAGCCCATTTGTATTCTGCGTCTTGCTCTCATGCTGTCTTGTAAACGGCAGACATCTGCTGCTCTGTAAATCCTTCTAGGAGAGGTATTTCACTGTGATAAAAAATGGAAACTTTAATCCACCGTGATATTTGTTTTACCTTGTTAGCCAGGCAGGTTTTGCAATGGCTTCATCCAGACTTCATTTCCCTCTTCATCGTTTCCCAGGCTTTATAAGTTACCATCTGTTATGCTTGTTATTGTCCTGACTGTAAAACCTAGAGAGACGGAATAGAACAGTAGAATGAATTGCTGTTGTGGTGATTACAACAGCCATTGACAATAAGAAAAGACTGTTTCTAATTGTAAACAGCCTAAAAACAATGTCAAAAAGGTTTGTGCAGTAAAAGTTAGAAATTGAGATGAATGCAAAAAAGGTAGTTATCTGCACAATCTTTATTATTATTATTTTTTTTTTTCTCAAATTCATTGTCTAGATGACCTTTTTGAAGTTCTGAAGTCAGAGAATGTCATAAACAAGCAGACTATTTGATTGTTACCAAAACAGACAAATAGCCTTTGTTATTGATTTGCATTAGTGAGATTGAACATTAGATAAATGACAATCACTAAAATGTCAGGGAACAAAGTTAATTAAAATGATTGAAAATTGCAATAGTACTTGCTGTCTCTGTAAGTGTGAAAATGGCACCTGCATGCACTAGGTAGTTGCCATGGTGTATGACCATTGTTGCCACAATATTATTAAGTTATCCTTGGACTGAATATGAATATGATATTTTGTAATTGTTTACAGTAGATGTTGCATTTTTAAATATATGCAGGCTTTTCAATTTTCTAATTTGCATCTTCTCAAATTGTGATTTTGATTTGAGATGAATTTAACAGGTAATATGTATCCTCCTCTCACAGACTGACGCGGCGCTCATGTATGATGCTGTACACATGGTTGCCGTGGCATCTCAGAGGGCCACTCAGATGACGGTCAGCTCTTTACAGTGTCACCGCCACAAGCCCTGGAGGTTTGGCCCACGCTTCATGAACCTGTTCAAAGAGGTCAGTCCACAGTGTGATATTAAGCTTCTCTAACTGTCCAATGCTCCGTCTTCATGATGACACTGTGTGGGCTTTATTTATGCAAACTACAAGCTTCTTAGCAATACGTTTTCACAACACTGGTAAGAAAGCTTAGCTGATTTTTTTTTTTTACATTTTTTGTCATATTTTGTTTTAGTGGTTTAATGTGGAAATGTCATGAATCACTGAATTGCCTAAAGTAAGTGATGTTTTTTTGTTCACATCCAAATAAATAATTTCATATCCTGTATAAATAGCCCCATGTTCCACACATCAGCCAAGGATTTTTTTTTAATTCAACCTAAATCTAAAATATCTCTGCCATTTCTGAACTTTCTTGAATTCTATATTTTATTCCAATCTGACCATATCAGAAAAGCACAGCCCTGCACTTCCAGCCTTACTCCTCTTACCCCTCTTTGACACCAATCCTCCAAGTTTGCCCAAACTTCTTGTTTTTGCAGTAGTACTTCAGCTCTTATATGGCATATTTATCTGCTTAAAGCGAAGCTGTGCCCGTCCGCCTGGCACAGCGGCAGCCCACAGACAGAAATGAGCTCTTTGATGCATGAGTGTTTTGATCTCTTAAGTCTTAAATCCAGCCGAGGACCGATGCCTGCCACGGCGCGCACATTATCACTCACTTTCCTCACTCACATATATCTGTTTCTGGCCCCTCCCATTCTGAATTTCTCTTCAGAGGTGCTTTTGTTCGTCCCTGCCCCTTTTTGAAGCATCTGTCTTCCTGTTCATTCATCACTCCATAAGAGCCTTTTTGATTGCAAGGAGCTGTAATATATCTCATCCAGCTCTCAATTAAAAAAAGTGTTGACAGATTTCAATTGGAAGTTTGAAATTAATTCCTGCGTTCTTTAACCTGAGTGTTTGGGTTCAGCCAGCTCTAGATAAAGAAAATATATATGTTTTTTGTTTCTTTGTATAGAGATGTTGTGGTGTAACATTTGCGGCACTACAGGTGTACTTTTTATTGATTTTCCTGTGGGCCTATATAAGTGCAAGACATTAGTAGATATCAAAGGTTGACAGATCTAAAGCTTAGTATCAACTGCCTCCAATTATGACACTATTAAATATAGTGAAGTAACCTCAAACAATACGGTCTGTACAAGCCAGATGCCCTACCTTCCATTATACCATAAGAATAATAATTGCTTTCCAAACCCTGCAGTTTTGACATGACTGACCATACAAAAGAATAGTTTTGTTAATAAATAAAATTCTTTAAATATTTCTGTTAGTTCTGACAGAACTTGAATTATACAATACAACTCTGAATCAATGGGAATTTTAGATTATGCTAGTCCTAGTTTTTCATTAATTTCAAGTTACACAAGAGTATTCTTGTGCCAAGTTTTATATATAAAACATTACAGCTTTGAACACCAATTACTCTGGTAGCACTGCATTATCTACAGTTGTACTTCTGTTTAGATTATATGTGTACAATATGCATCTCGATTGCCCTGAGTGAATGAAAGTGAATGACTGCCATTTTGTAGTTCATAGCTTGGTCAATATCTAGACTTGGGCAGAGTCCCTCTCAGGCCCATGTAATGGACAAAAAACTTGAAAGGTGCTCTCTGTAACTTTAGCAGAGGGTCCGACACCTGCTTTTGTCTGGAATGTTTCAGAGTATGACTTTAATCTAATCTATTTCCAGTAAATTGATTGTAAGAATGCATGTGTGACTGTATTTTTGTTTTGCATTAAAAGCTGTACTTGACCAGAAAAATAGCTTAGTATACATTTAAAGATGAAAATGTGGAATAAATCAACATGCTAATCAAGACTTTATGTAACAAATGTAACATAAGAAACGAAAATATTACAAAATAGTACAGAGCCAAGTTTTGATCTGATTACTGATGCTGGATGCGCACACCTTTGAAAGCATTTTTATGTTGTTGACATTTCTGTGCTCACACTCCTCAAATCAATAATTCAACAGTCTTAACTAGACACTTGTTGTTTGCTCAGCTCCTCTTCACCTTTTCCTCCTCCAAATCTGCTCCGGATCTTCACTAATCCCGGGCACACTCACTGCTCAATTTCTCACTTGTGTCTCTTCTTGTGTTTGTGTGTGTGGGGCAAAGGCGCAGTGGGATGGCCTGACGGGACACATTGTTCTTAATAAGACAGATGGCCTGAGGAGGGACTTTGATTTGGACATCATCAGCCTGAAAGAGGACGGCACTGCCAGGGTGAGTAGTGGCCAATTACAGTGTGCTCGAGCTGCCTCTATGCCACCTGATTTAGTTCATTAAGTTTCTGCTCAAAAAGAAGGACTGCCAGGATTCAGTTTTTCATCCTTCTGTTTTGTTTTTTAAGGCAAGACACTGCAAGAAAAAGGGTGAAATCCATGGAGATATAGTTAATACAGTTATTGAAAAACATTAGAATACGTTTTCTGTCTGTGTAATGTTAAAAGACCCATATTATGCTGTTTTCTGGTCTATGTTATAATGTTGTTTCCTCATCACAAACAGACCTGGACTTGTGTTTTGTTTCATTCACACATGTTTAACACACAAACCCTGCACATTTAGGCTGAGTTATAGCCTGCCTGACATTCTCTTCCTCTACTTCCAGTAAATGCCTTTGGATCATACAGTGTAATGTAAAAAACAGCTTTTCTCCGAAATAGCTTTTTTTTATTTTGAGAACCATAAAAAAGTGACAACCAGGGACACTACGCCTTGTCTAATCAGGGACGTTGCTGGAAGATAACCATATGGGAACAACTGCCCTTGACTATCCCATGTTGTTGTTTTGCTGTCATCAACATAAGCGTGAGAGAAGGGACTAAATGGACGGGGTTAACAGTTCAAACTAAAACACGTTCTTCACTCATGGTTCAACATCAGATGCAACACCTTTAAAGGGCACATATCACTACTGCTGCTATGCTATTTTCTGATCTATTGTATGATTCCTCATCAAAAACATGCCTGCAGTTGTGTTTTGTTTCATTCACACATGTTTAACACACAAATCCTGCATATTTAGGCTGAGCTCTTCTCTCAAACTGATGTCATGTGGTAATACAGGAAGTGCTCTACTGTGTTTTTAAACTCTATACACTTTTACTAGAATCAATTGGATAAATTCAGTCCTGGAACTGCCCATCTCTACTGAATAAAAAGTAAAAGGAGCTTTTAACTTGAAAATTACTGCTTCGTGACATCATAAGGTGGAACAAAGAATTTTTGAACGTTGGAGATGTAGATAGAGTAATAATAAAGGGTTACTTAAACGTGTGAATGAAGCAAAACACAACTCCAGGTATGTTTTTGATGTGATAATAACATTATAACATGGTTTAAAGTTCACCTGAGTCAATTTCACATAATATAGGACCTTGAAGTTTAAGTTGGGCAAATCAAGTGTGAAATCTCAAATGCACTAAACACCAAAATCTCAATATTGCTAAAATCCTGTATCACAGTGTCTTGCCCTCACCATGCATCTACTTATTATGATTTGTATGTGCATCCTGTCTCTGCTTCATGTGCTTCTGCATGTTTTCTAAGGGTTTTAGTGACGGTCGGAGTAGACTTACCAAACGATGGATCAAGGTTTGTGGCTGTTCATGTTGAGTCTGACCTTTTGTTGTTAACCCACTTCCTGCTCTCTTTATTCTCCATGCCCAGCGCCTCTCCACTCCTCGCCTTGTCAAGTCTGTTCCCCTCCACTGGGTTTGTGTTCACCAATGCCATGTGGTTGACATTTTAAGATTCCTCTTTTTTTTTTTGTGTTGTTGTTGTTATTCCTGTTTTGGGTCCTTGCAAAACTCTGACACTTGTCAAAACTGCTTCGGCAACACCAGAAGAGGTAACAATTTTTAGTGAAGGTGGCTGAAGAATGTAAAGTTAGGCCTGGACTTTATGCGGTAGACTGAATGTTAATTTTAGATTGTATCACATAGTAAATTTTCTATTCCTTTAGCCCTCTGTTTATAGCTTTTAATTAATTTTCCCAAAACAGCTCATATCAGTCACCTATTTTACGCTGTGTATAGGCGAGATATAATATAGATAGTGGTAGTGATAACTTAATTGCACATATTTGAGTTGTAGCTGTTTCAAAGGTGCATTATGTAACTCTTCTGGTGGGGGTGTACCAACCGTTTGTGTCAATGCCGTTATTGTTTTATCTGGGAACTCTACAGTATGGCAGTTTTATTTTACATTAATCAATTCCGTCAGTTTTTATGGATTAAAATACAAAACTTGACCTGCTGGCATCATCAGTTTTTCTCTTTGTCTAACTTTACTACCAGCCTGTGGAGTGTTAAATGCAAAGCGATAACATCTCCAAGTAGACAAACTTGTGAAATTGCTACATATTGCACTTTTAATAACATTTCAAGATGATATAATTATAAGAGATTATTTGGGTAGGCAAATGTTTTTGTATAGCACAGTTTTACACAAAGTAATTCAAAGTGCTTTACAGAATAAGAAATCACAATGTGAACCAATAAAAAAATTATAAGAGAAGAGTGCAGAAAAAAAAAACTTACAGATTTGAATATTGTCAAAGTAGAGGCACAGGAACAGGAAGACTGTTCTAGATTTTGGCTGCATAAAACTGAAAGGCTGATTCTCTGTGTTTACTCTTGACTCTGGGCACCAGCAGGAGGCCGGTCCCTGAGGTGTGAGATGCTTCATATGGCACTAACATGTCAGAGATGTACTTTGGTGCTAGGCTATGGAGAGACTTGTACACAAGCAAAGCTGCTTTAAAGTCTATTCTCTGAACCACAGGAAGCCAGTGCAGAGACCTGATGCTTGTACATCTTTGAGACTTTGAGATGAAAATTCAACCTCAAGAGGTCAACAGCACAAATAAATTATGCCTGTAAACCTGTAAACTTGAAGGTCTGTTGTTTGTACCCATAACATCATATTCATTCATATCATTCAATTTTTCATTTTTAATCAGTTCTTCCTGCGCCTCTTGTCCTTGGATTTTCACACTCCACTGTAGATGTAGGCCACATTGTCTAGGACAGCCTTTCCAACCACTCTCACCATACGCATTTAAAGTAGAGCTTGTCCCAAAATAACTTCTCCAATTCTGGCAAACCCTCCAAAACCTCACATATAGACAAAATACATAAGGCTGCGTTGTTACATTGTTATATTGCCCTGGATATTTCTTTGAGAGTGCATTCAGATGTCGAGCTGTCAGTGTTTTTTTGGTGGAGTCAGTGTGGGCTGTCAGTGCTCGGTATATTTGAAGGCAGCAGCTGTCAAGTAACAAAACCTGCATTTATACAGTAATTTTTATGTTAATTTTGCCATTAGAATATCCCTTCTGTGAAAGTTAACCCTGCATATAAGAGCTGCTTACTGTTCAAGTTTTAAGTCATGAAAATTAATTATTAGCCTGTTGTGTTGCAGTTACTTCTTGTGAGTTGAAGTAGAGTGGGAGGAGGTGGCCAAACAAAGTAAAAATGTCTTAAGAGGAAGGTGCGCTCTTAAAAGTTGTTGACTTTCTGAAAATCCCTGTTTATTATTCCCTACAGCTTTCATGGCCTTTGCGTAACATGCTTTCCTCTCCGCAGTAATGGTTTTCCAGTGCGATTTGGATTGGGAGGAAGACATGCTCCAGGATTTGTCGATAACATTTTACTCTGAGCTCACAGGGGGATTTACTGACAGTTTTTATTGCACGGTTATGCTGTTGGAGGCCCGCTGTTATGGACGATAAAATTATATGTATATTCAGAAATGCACTAACTTTTAGGCTTTTAATATAGACCCACCTCAAAATGCATGAAACATAAAATTATGAACAGAGCTATGCAAAGGTTTTATATAATTCCTAAAAGAAAATATTTCAGTGGTATGTTTCCAAAATAATCACAGTTTCAAGACAAGCAATGGGGATTTCTCTCAATAATATTCATGGGTCAGAAGTCCTCAAAATGGTTTCCATTACAGGAAAAAATTGTGACTGAAAACTAGCGATAAATGTATAAGTAACATTATGAGTAATAGAGTTATTACTCACCCTTATATCTGACAGGAAGTAGAGCTAAATTGAGCCCACACTGAAGCCCACCAAGTTTTCTGAAGTGAATTTCCCGTTCATTATACCCATAGACATTTATAATATTTTAAATATTAAGAGTTTAAAGGCATAACAGAGGCAGAGAATAACCAGCTATGCGACAAGTAATGTCCAGACAGAGACTGTAGATATAAATGGACAAAGCTAATGCGCTAGTCGCCACATTCCAAATAGGAAGTTTGCATGCAGCTCTTCTGGCTCCTTCTGACCCTGGCTCCACATTGGAATATCGTGGCCCCTGTCTCTGATGCTTGTGAGTTTCATTTGAGTGGTGCTATGGGGGACGTCACACTCACTTACTCCATTTTTTATGCAGTCTGTGTGTCCATATCATTATTTTCAGTCCAATAAACTTTGGTTAATTGGACATTGGTTAATAAAAGAAACATTTTCACAAAATTATATTTTCTTTTGAAAAGACAATGTGAAATTTAAATACATTGAAGTGGCTGGTCACTGTTGAGCTCCATTTTGAATACCAGAAATATTTGATATAATGTCCAATGTACTGTATGTATTCTTAATTTTAAATGGGAAATACAATCACATTTAGTTTCCTATTGCAGTGACTTTCTGATCACATAGTTCACTAATATCAAAAATCGTAAACAGATTATATGCTAAAATACTTTGCTACAACACACATCCTCCCAAAATGATTTCACCTTGTGACCGTTTATCTGCGATTGAGGACAATACAGTTAATTAGAGCCAGTCCCACTGAGTGTGTTCTAATCTCGAGGCTGGAGATAAGACAGATTTATGGAGTCTGGTGTGGAGTGGACTCTTAGTGGAGATAGAGTGCTTTTAGTCTGCTTCGAAGTGAAAACATTTTGTCTGTTTTGATGGCTCTTTACAATTAAATAAACATAATGAGGAGTTAAAAGCATGCTATATTTTACTAAAACTGATTTTACATAATGTGTCCCACATTCAGCTTGTCCTTTTTGAGGTCTGGTCACAAAAGCAGCCACGGGAGAGGCATAAGTAATAGATTTCCCTCTAAAGTAAGATGACTGATGAAAAATAGCAGAGGTGGACGAAGACCATGAATAACATTACAAGAGTTTTGAAATAGAAATAAACACAAGTGATACTTGTCAAACCTTGTATGCACTTGTTTGATTTATTGTTTAGATTAGAAATATATTACTGTGAAAGAACTAAATCAGAGCTTGATTGTACACAGTTTATATTATCTTACTTTTACTTAACTAACTTTTTTTTTTAATGTCACTTTTTTAATTGTCACTAGTTAAATTGTACTTCTTGTAGTAGTTTTCTAGAACCATACTATTTTGCATTATTTAATGTTTTGTCAGATTGTCTTAATCACAAATTAGACATTATATTTAGATAATTACACATATCGTTACTCATACTTAGTAGTTTCCCCAAATATTTTACTGTTACTTGAGTTATTTCTGTAATTGTTCTCTCACTTGAGTACATTTTGTGGCTACAACTTTTTCTAAAATGAATTCTGCCATTAACAATAAAGATCAAGACTACATTATGAGAAATTTAGAGTAAACTCCAAGAATGGACAATTATTGTGGTAATCCAATATTCTAATATTTATTTGCAGATCAATACTGACAGTTAATTCACTTAATCTGAACAGTCAGGAGCTCGTAGATATCCACAGATTTAACACTGTCTGAGGAGATCTGAAGGGGTCAAATCCAGCTGCCAGCCGCCTCTCCTAATCTGATAACTGTCTGGATTATGTCGCCTGGCCCCATGAATATATCCACAATTACAAGAGCAACGACAGAATACAGACACCATGCTGGATCCATTTACTCCCACGACCCTGTGTGATCCTTGTCCTCATTGTTTACTGGCGCTATGGTGATGGGCAGCAGGCAGAGGAGAGGAAAAATGGTGTTACTATCAATCTTACTATTAATCAGGTTATTTCATTTGGCTATTCTTGAGTAGTTTATGAAGCTATAGGATGTCATGGCTACAATCTAAGAATGGGACAATAAGCAATAAGATTTATCATGATAAAAAGTGTAGACACTAATTGTTCATTTCATATATGTGTGATAATCGCCATAATGTCAACAGAATGGGCAGAAAAAAGGTACTTATCCTTAATTTTCTTAAAGTACAAAAACAGTTGTTTAAATATGGAACCTAATGATGATACTAAAATTGTAATTATTCATATTTTTATAACTGTCAGCAACTTTAAGAATTATTGTGATATAATTGATAATTGCAATTATTTTGGCCATCATTACACCAATTTTTAATATCATACCATGTCCCAGTCACATGTAATTTTAGAATTCCTTTTTATGAGTGAATGGCAGGGAGTGTACAGCTTTCGTTTCTCAAAATATTCAGATACATAGAATATGACTTGGGTGTAACAGTGGCTTACTATTTGAATAAAAAGAGCACTATTTCTCCATAGAGATGTTATTGCTTTTCCTGAGATGTTCCATAGATTTAATGCCATACTGAGAAGGATTATAGGCTAAGCAAAACAAATCTCCATATAGACAAGCAGGTGGCAAAACCCCAACCAGAAAAGCGATATATACTGAACCTTTAACATATTTTTCAACTTCAAATTGAGTTTTTCTTTAATTATATAAAACTTCCTTGATCTAACCTTTATTGCACAACGGATCACATATTCAGTTAATGAGCAAACTCCAGCAACAATTTGTCAAAGATTGTCAGGAGAAATTCAGTGAAATTTCTATGACCAATTCTTGTCTTTCAGTTTTGCATTCAGGCCATTTCAGTACAGTGTTCTCAGATTATCCAGAAACTTTTAAACTTAACTTATTCCCACACGTAGCCAACTTTCTGTTATCATAGCACGTTTATATTAACTAATTTTCTGCTTAGTTTGCCCAAAGTAATTCACGCTAAGATGAGCAATGTGAAATCCCATAGAGTGCTTTTGTCAATGGTGCAGGGACTCAATTGTCAGGCAGGTTCAGTCTTTTAACCTTTGTACTTTTTCATTTTTCTGTTCAGCGAATCAGAAAAAAATGATTAATTTGCGGCATGTTGGTGCTTCCTGCTTTTATGGACCTACAAAATAAATTTAGTTTTGACATATAGTATGAGTCAGCCCGTCAGTGTCAAGGATTCTTAACAAAAATGAGACTCACTGGACAGAATATTTGGTACAGGAGTTAGAAGTTTGTATCAAATCACTGCCTCCAGAGACTGCTGGTCTAATTTAATAATTTTCTTGCAAAGCTGTTTTCACAATTTTGTAGAACAAAAATGGGAGGGTAGTTATTGAGTAGCAGTTGTGTGGTCAAAATTACAAAATGACTGCAGTTGAAATTTGGTTTGTAATAAAACAAATCCTTATCAGAACTCATCTGCTCTAGCACTAATGCAGAACCAAACCAGGTCCTCTAATCAAAGACAAATAATAATGAGCTGAGGAGTGCCACGGGAACATTGATATATTGGAGTAGTAATAAATAAGTATAATAATTCTGTGGATTTATAGCACTCGCATTGCATTATTAACGCTCTCCACATATCTGATGCTGACAGCTTCGGTCACGCTGCCTAGGAGCTGACTGATGGAAACATTGAGTCCTTGGGCAAGGCCGGTGTCTTGCCAAAGGATACAATGGAGAATGCAATGGTCGAAGCTGAGATCAAACCACTGACATTTGAGTCTGTGGGCAAACTGAGCTACTGTTGTCCAATGTACACAAATATATTTATGAATGTGGTTAGTTTTGCACCGTTGGGCTCAGTGCAGATATGCTGTTTAACTGTCATATTGCATTTTTACCTGGTTTATGGTTAATATTTAATTACTAGTCCTGTCTATCCACATGAAACAAACTCAAGAAATTCAGTGTCAGCACAAATATTTTAAATTTATTGTAGTAGCCTCAAAAAGTGGTGCCATTATTCAACCCCTAAGACTTACCGTACTTGTTGTCGGTTGAAAGGACTTAAAAGTGTAAGTGAGATAAAGTGAGATTGACACGTTTGTTTGGCATTGCAGATCGCCGTGTGGAACTCGTACACCGGCATGAACCTGACGGAGAGTGACCGGGACAAGAATAACAATGTGACCGACTCTCTGGCCAACAGGACTCTCATTGTCACCACGATTCTGGTGAGGAAACAAGGTTAACACTAGGACGCTATAGAGGAGAGGAGGAGACACTTGAGGGATGAGGAGAGGAAAGGAAGGAAGCTCGCTCTTGAGAATATGGGCTCAAAGACACTGGAGGTTGAATATATAGAACTACCGTATGCCCTAGGACTGCTATATGTTGTATAGTATATAACAGTTTCCAAGTTTACCACAGCACCACTATGTCTGAATCATAAACATACACTGACATATATTTGCTCTTTTTAAGTTTAGTTTATTAAAGGTGAATTGTGTAACTTTTCTGGTGGAGGGTCCGTCACATACTTTTCTCCAACGAAATGTTATTGCTTTGTCTGGAATTTCTTTTCTGACCAAACCAGAACAAGTTACAGGTCAGATCTGTGGAGAAGCAACCCCACTCACGGTCAGAATGCCTGTTTTTATTTTTAGTATTTTGTAAGACAGAGACGTTTAATGTCATACTGTGGAACATTCCAGGCCGAGCAATGACATCTCCATAGAAACAAACAGGTGACGGACCCTCCACCAGAAAAGTTACCCAATGCACCTTTAAAATCCCTTTAGCTTCAGATCAGTTGCAATCCTTCCCAGAGTCTCCTCATGTTCATCACATGCATTTTAGTTTTATACTTTTTTGATACACACACACAGTACTAGCAAATTAAATATTTGTTTCACTACTACTACCACAATGTACAACTATAAGAAGTGAGAAGACTTGAACTTGACTCTGGTTTACTGTGACTTTGTACTGCCAGACCATCTGCAGTTGTTTGCTTCTTTGAACTGTTACCAATAACAAATCACTTTTCCTTTTTCTCATTAGACTTAGACAAGCTTTATTAATCCACAAGGGAAATTACTTGAATTAAACTTTTCTTTAATACATAACAGTTATAGCTACATTGTGTTACTTTTAATTTCACATGTACATTTAGTCTTGTCTTTCAAACAGGAAAATCCATATGTGATGTATAAAAAGTCGGATAAAGAGCTTGTGGGGAACGACCGATTTGAAGGTTACTGCCTGGACCTGCTGAAGGAGCTGTCAAACATCTTAGGGTTTACATATGAAGTGAGACTGGTGGCTGATGGGAAATACGGAGCCCAAAACGATAAAGGAGAGTGGAATGGAATGGTCCGCGAACTTATCGACCATGCAAGTTCATGTTTTTTTTTTACTTATAAATCTTCTTTTTAATATATATATATAACTGTATAACTGTAAAATGTATAATGATTGACCACAAAATGAAATTACCATTTCAACAGATGTCGTTAAGTACTTATTAATCTGCCAGTCTCAAGCATTGAAATATATGAGCATAAGACAAAATAATGTTTTGTCACTATTTTCCAATGTCAGAAGCATCTTTTACATTATTAGACTTCTGAAAACATACATACTATTTGAAAAGTCCTTCAGCAAGATGTAGAAGTCCATAAAATAAATAATATTGAAAATGGTTTCAAGTGTATAGCAGTCTGTCAAATGTTAGAACACTGTAGACAAAAGCATTTCTCAAATATTGAAATTCAATAGTAATTAAATTTGATGTTATGTTATGTTTGAATCTAATAACCCTTGTCACGCAACATTCTCCAAGACACAGATATCACAACTAACCATGTATCTTAATAAACCATGCTAACCTTTGAGATTAGACTTGAAGTCACTGATTAGTCACTTAAGTAATGAACATGTATTACAAAGCATTAGTTGCATTCATTGCATTTAGATACGATGTTGTAGAATAAATTGAAGTAGCTTGAGAGTTGTATGTAGAGGCAGTGTGGCTGGAGTTCTAACCCAGGAGAAGTTTATTAATCATCAGTGCTGGATCCAGAGACGTGACCACTCAAGATGTTGTGATAGTATTGTCCACCCCAGACTAGTCCAGCCCGGCTTGTATGCTTCCACTGTAGGGAATATTACACCTCTGATCATGTAAGCCAAGATAACAAGGGCTGAGCAAACTGGCACGAAACAGAAATGCAATTTCTCTATCAATCAGAAGATATAATTTAATTCCAATGACAATAAATGAAGAAATAAGAAATAACATATCATGATCATCATTGCCAAAAAGGCTTTCAAATGTTTTTTGAATGTTAATACATTAGTACAGATCTTTTTTAATATAGCGTATGGACTTTTTCAGTTGTTCTGTTCTGACACTCTGTTGACGTACACAAAAGGCCAACACTGAAAATCTATATGTAGACATAATAAGATTGCTTGTTTCATATCCACTCCGTCTCTCTGTGCTTGTATTTTGAATTTATTAGGTGGCTGACCTTGCTGTGGCTCCTCTGACCATCACGTATGTGCGAGAGAAAGTAATAGACTTCTCCAAGCCCTTCATGACACTGGGCATCAGTATTCTGTACCGCAAACCCAACGGCACCAACCCGGGCGTCTTCTCCTTCCTCAACCCCCTTTCCCCCGACATTTGGATGTACGTGCTGCTAGCGTGTACCGGGGTCAGCTGTGTGCTCTTTGTCATTGCCAGGTACGAGACACAACAGGGATCAATTCATGTGATGAAAGACTGACATAACACAGACACACAAGAATGCCATAGTAGTGTTCAAAGGGTATCTGAAGTAGTACAAGAGCTGTGGTTTAAATTGACTACAAAACACATATATGTAATAAATTGATCTGTTTTACAAATAGATTTCATACTACTACTACCACTACTGCTCCTGACTGCTTGGATGGGTTAAATGCAGAGGACAAACAAAATGTACCTTAACTTTATCTATTTCCATGGAGACAAAAAGCTAATGCAAGCAGATATAAGATAAGATATAACATGTCCATGGAGACAGGTAGGCAGCAGACACACTTCTAGAAAAGTGCGTCTTTAAGCTAGGCCTATACAGGTATTAATTCCGCAACGCCAACAGAATGCTAAAACGGCTGCTTTCACTTTGGCTGCGGCTTTCAGTCCCTATTATACTGTATTATCAAGCACTAATCAATCTTTACTGAAAACTTTAAAATTACTTTCCCCTAAAAGCTGTTCAGCTGAAAATATGTCTGCAAAAACTATGGTCGGCTAATAACCAAATGAACCTATATAAAATGTCATTTGTCAAGATCCAATCTACAAATGATTGAATGATCTGCACATATATTGTATACATGATTTTTATTAAAATATGCAAAAAATTACTTCACCGGGTACACATAACTGACTTACACATGGCCAGTTTAAATTCAACTAATATAAAAATCACTTTTCCAGCATTTTCTAATCCGCTCATGGAGAACTGTACGTACCCTGTCCCTTTTTAAAATAGCACATCTGAGGGTTAACTCAAATTGGTCTCTATAAAGACTGCCTGTATTTTAAATGGCCCAACTGTGAGCTAGTGGCAGATTGGAATAGCTGGCATACGCATGTGAATCCTTATTTTGCATGTCTATTAAACTCACCAGAAATAAGGGTTTAGCAGCCTGTCAGTTCCAGGATAGCTTTTTTTATTTAGTGATTAATACACAGCCCAGAGAAGGTGTTAACTCCCTCGTCACCTCTCCAGCCTGGACCACCGCTGGCTCTGAAATAGATTTGTTGTGGAAATCAAAATGCAAATCAAGGTGAGGCGGGGAACTGTGAATTATACTGGTGAACAAGCGGAAACATGTCTAGATTAGTTATTTGTGACTGCTCCTGTGTGCCGCATCAGTAATTAATATGCTTTACTATGGAGGCTATAAACTCAAGCAATGAAGTTGCTGTGTTTGTGAGGTGCACCTGCAGAGATCTGACAAGGTAACAGGAAATATTATATTAAGTGTATTTAATAGTATGACATATGTCATTACTTTTGGTAATTATCGTTGTCAGCCATTAATCTCTATTAAAGTTATAGTCCAGGTCAGGTGATATTTTACCATTTTTGTAGAAATTAAAAATAAAATAAAATAAATCCTTACAGATTGTATTCCAGATGAAAGGTAAACACAGTTACATACATAGGCATTCCAAGCATGCGTTTACAATACATAATGAGACGATACATTTTAAGAGGATTTAATTTTCAATTTAAATATTTTTGTCTTGCAGATTTACTCCTTATGAATGGTACAACCCCCATCCGTGCAACCCATCCTCCACTTTAATCCAAAACAACTTCACTTTACTCAACAGCTTCTGGTTTGGAGTGGGCGCTCTCATGAGACAAGGTACACATTTTTTGCCTTTGCTACTTCAATAAAACTTGTTTCTCTCTATGCATTTTTAAAAGATGTTATTTTATGTGTATTACTAAAATACCAGTTTGTTTTTGTACCCTGTGGGCAGATTTGAATGTAATAAATTCTCTATATTTGATTGAATGGCCATCAAATTCAGCTTACTGCTGTCTTGTGTATTCTGTCCATTTCATAGATACAACATTATTTTCCCCGTCAGACATATTGATTTTGCCTGGGAAGAAAATGCTAAAAATATAAACCATGTGTAATTCTCAAGACCAAAATAAATACTAAAATGTTATTCCCACATGAACCACAGAAGTAAGTTTGTTTACAAATATTTTGGATCCATTTTTGGTCAAATGTTATACTTAGTGGGTTTTAAGGTTATTTAGTATCGCAGTAGTGACATACCTATTTTTTACCTCTGGGCTGACTGAGTGAAGTTTTGTTAGAATATTTTTACTAATAACAGTAAAAAATTATTATTATTTTTTTAATTTGCAGTAATAACATGAAAACAACAAGTTGAATCCCATGTGTAAATCCATTTCTGAATTTAGGAAGGCAATTAACTTGTTTCTATAGAGTTTTCTGCTTATTATTTCTACTGAGTTTTCCCAATTTATGTAGTTGTACAAAATATTACACCAATTAGACACAACCTTTGCCTACAGTTGGAATAACTTCAGCAATATCAGCTACCTTAGCTCATGTGCGTCACCTCCCACTGCTTCAAGATATTTTTATCCGTACTTTTGTTAAAGGAACTGTTCGCAAAGATTTTGGTTTTACATTTCCTGTCTGTGTCCCTAGATACTGTATGAAGTAAAAGTGTTCAAATCATATAGAGCTTTTCTAATGCTGATTTATTCTTTGTTACAAACAAGTGATGGTTTAGGCCCTGGCAACTCAGGTTCTGAATCTATGGGTATTATGTGCTATAACCCCCAAGTTGAGAACTGTTTATCTAATGTAATGTAAATCTGCTAAAACACCAAGACACAGAATCAAGCATCAAACTACAATGTTACAGGCAGTAGTCATACTGTAAATACTGGTCTGTGGTGCCAGTGCTCTCTGAGACATACATAATGGACTAAATCACTGAAATTAGTTTGTGTATTATTTTGTGATTTGTCATGTTTTTTTTGTTTTTTTTTCATAAAGTATTGGCCATATGGGAACTGTTTGGTTAATTTGTTAATGCTAAAAAGATTCCTGATGCATTCATTTTGTCTAATAAAACCTTAAAACCCTGATTTGATAATTGGAGACCTGGGCTTTCTGTATGAGCTGATGTTAATAAGCATCACAAAATATTTAGAGATTATTCAAACTTAATTTAATAACAAGTTTTGATTAAACACTAAATCAACATTCATGATGTGTTGTTGCTACACTGATGGAAGCTAATGGTAGACTGAAATGGTAAACTGTAATTATGTATCAATTATAGTCCAGATAAAAAGGCAGAAGAAGAAATAGAAACACCACAATAACATATTTTGTATAAAACATTATGATGCATCACACCAAAATGTTGCAGAAGCTTTTTAATGTACAGGTATAGGGGGCTCTATTGGAATGTGAGCTTTACTAGTGCTGGGCCTTGAGTTCTAGGTCGTCAGCTTCTCTAGTCGAGGGACCTCTTCTAATCCACCTTGCCCACAGTGTCTGCGTACACTGGTGTGTGAATGGGTGAGTGAATGGGTGAGTGGTTCCTTGTTGTAAAGCGCTTTGAGTGCCTTGAAGGTGGAAAAGCGCTATAGAAAAATGTGACCATTTACCATCATTGCATTTGGCTGTCAAGATTTGAGATTATTGCCTTCATTTTCATCAATTCCCCATATGACTTGGGGACCTCCTGAAATCATTTTGCAACCTTCATAAGGGCTTGTAATTCTTGTTTTCCTTAATTTTCCACATTAGCTGTTTTGACTCAGCTTATTCTTTTAATGTACTTTCATTTACTGCATTGTGAATAAAAAGGCTGTACATGTTGCTGCAGGTTCGGAGCTGATGCCCAAAGCCCTGTCCACTCGGATTGTTGGTGGCATCTGGTGGTTCTTTACGCTGATCATTATATCTTCGTACACGGCCAATCTAGCTGCCTTCCTCACAGTGGAGAGAATGGACGCGCCCATAGACTCAGCAGACGACCTCGCCAAACAGACGCGTATAGAGTACGGAGCAGTGCGGGATGGGTCCACTATGACCTTCTTTAAGGTACATCTTAAGTATAAATAATTGGAGTTTTTTAAGAGTTGTTCTGTTATTGTGCTTGAACCAGGAGAGAAACTGAAAAATGAGTAATATTTGATGAATAATTTATTGAATGGATAGACGTTTGACAGCATTGCAGTGAAGGGAGAAATTTGGGGATTATAGATGTTATGTCTTTCTGCTTGTGGTGGTGAAGAGGAAATAGACAAGAGAAAGTAGACGGGTGGTTTTGCTGCTGTGGTGGGGATGGGCAGAAACCATAGCATATAACTGAAATAGCCAAGTAATAACAGAGAGGGAAAAATATATATTTAACTTTGTACTCTTAAGAATATTGGTTTACTTTCTATACTGGCATGTTTATTGTAATAAAATGTACAGCATAACCCCAAAACATGGAATACATGAGAGATGATGCTTAATCAAAGCTATAGGGTTACATTCAACAGCATGTACTACTTAATGTGTGTGAGTAGCTAGAAGCCAAGTGTTTTGCCCAATCATCAAGTGTACACAGCCATTTAGCATCATCAAAAGAAGTGTTGACAGAGCAGGAAAGAGGCAGGAAGTGCTTGTATCTGCTGGAGTGTGTTTTGCTGTGCGCTGAAGCAGGGCCTGCATTCACTTTGCTCCTGTATTATATAATGCATGAGTTCTGTGCTGTCCTCGGGCCGTCCTGTCACATCCTCCCCTCTCTCTCCCCTCTCCTTTTCCCCCTCTCCTTTCCACACTTCCTCTCAGCTCAGCAGGAGTGATCCATGCGCCCTCCTGATCCTTCCAGATTGCACTAAGTGATTACCGCCACCGCAGCCCAAAACACCAAGACGCTGTTTGTGTGTGCGTGGACGACTCGAACAAATTGAATCAGCTGGAGGAGATTTAGAGCACAGCTGTCCCATTTTATTCTGACTGTGCAAAAATAACACTGACACTTAAACTCAACTGCTAACACTCCAGAGGTCCTGACAAATCCTGCTCCCCAGTGAACCTGAAGAAGGCCTGTTATAAGATTATATGTAACACACTATTTCACAACGAGGTAAATATGTGTTTAAAGATTGTGCTTTTGGAGTGTTTAGTGCAGGGAAAAGTTCAACCAAGGACAGGAGTTGAGAATTACCATTAGCAATACACAAAAGGTCATATAACCTAGAATGTCTTTTTTAATATCAGTTATTTTGGTAGTGCCCTATTGTGATAATATTGGTACTGTGTGTACTGTGTACCATATCAAACTACAGGAAATCTGACCTGTGATTACCACCCCAATATGAAGCCCTTTATTAGATTTGAGGAAGCAGGTTTGTTCATATGAGTCATATTTAATTGACTCTGAACCTTGGAATGTTATGTTTAGTCTTATTGTGTACTAAGCTGACAAGAATACTGCACTGCTTTGGTTCATGTAAAATTGAATCTCTCATCTTTCAGGAGGCCGCTAAACTACAGCAATTACAGTTATTGCTTCAAAAAAGGAGATTTTTTTTTTTTCTTTCATAGACTTTGTAGTACATTGACAAGCTTATGAGACGGTGTTTGAAAAGCATCAGAAATTAGTACAGCACGGTTGTTAAAACTACAAAAACACAGACATAAGGACCTGGGTTTGATTTCTCAGTAGTGCAGATGTTTTTTGTGCTTTTGATTTTCTTTGTGTCTGGATGTACATAAAAGATTTCACAATTGGCTAATCCTCCAGCTAATCCTGACCAAGACCTGGCTCATGATCTGAGAATGGTCCCATTGGGTGCACTTCAATTGGCTTCTGCTCCTGACACTTTGCCACAGGGATATTGTTGAATGGATCAAATTGGTGAAATTTCCTGCAGGCACAATGTAGTTAAAGCTATACCTGACTTTTATGTCTCCTGGTTCCAGTGAATTGCTTTTTTACCAGTTTAGTGAAGTGTAATATAAAAGCAGCTATGTGAGAAAGAAATGAGACAGGAAAATATCACCTGTGCATGCATGGAAGGTGTTTTGTTGTGTTTGTTGTAATTATGTTGTAATTGCCCGTGACACTATATCTTGTCCAATCAGGAGGAGCGTAGTTGGAAGAGAACCATGTAGTAACAAATACCCTGTGATTATCCCAGACGATGTTTGTCTGTCATGGTGTAATATTTGACGAGGGAAGGGACTAAGTGAGCAGGGCAAGCAAACTAAAATACGTTCTTCATTCATGATTCAACTATGGTGCACTATGTAACTTTTTCATTTGGTGTTAGGCATCTTCTTTTTTTCTTTGGATATGTCATTGCTGTGCTTAGAATGTTTCACAGTATGACTTTAAACAACTCCACCTTACAGTTATTCAATTACAAGTGGTTTTACTGCTCAAAAATAACCAGAAATACAGACATTCTGACTGTGAGCTGGATCGCCTCTCCACAGATCTGACCTGTATCTTGGCCTGGTTTGGTCTCTATGAGGTTTAATGCCATACTGTGAAACATTCTAGACAAAGCAGTAATATATCCACGGAGAAAAACATTTGACAGACCCTCCACTAGAAAAGTTACACAATGCTTCTGTAAGTAACTACAAAATCAGGTCCACTATCTCTGTCCCATTTTTATCTCTGGCAAAATGGAACTGTCACTCAAATATTTATAATTACTTACACTCCTACATCTGTATTTGAGCATTCTCAGTTTACAAACAACATCACTTTGTCACATCTTCCTTGTTTTGACAGAAATCCAAAATCTCCACATATGAGAAGATGTGGGCGTTCATGAGTAGCAGGAAGAACACAGCTTTGGTGAAGAACAACAAAGAAGGCATCACTCGAGTCCTCACCACAGACTACGCCATGCTGATGGAGTCTACAAGCATCGAATACATCAGCCAGAGGAACTGCAACCTGACACAGATCGGAGGGCTCATAGACTCCAAGGGCTACGGAGTGGGCACGCCAATAGGTAAGAGGATTAGGAGGCCAAGGCATAACTGATGGATTATGGGTATTAATGTAGAGAAGAGTTTAAGTAACATGGCAGATGACCATAAGTCCAAGAATTTTCTGTTGTTTTGTGGACGGTAAGAAAAACGCAATTACATGAACACAACCACAGATGAGGTGTTCATACAATATCTATTTCCATGCATTTTTTAGAAGATATTTTGGCCTGGAGGCTTTATTGGATTGGACAGTTGTAGCATGAAATGAAGAGAGAGAGAGTTGAGACATTTGACAAATGATTGTAGCCGGAAAGCTTACTCATGGCACTCAGGTATCAACAAACTCATATGCGCAACACCTTACACTGCTACACCACAGGCAAGCACATTTCTATGCATTTTAATATAATTTTATACAAAAAGAAGTGATTTATTTCAGTATGATTTAACTTTTCCAATAAAGTGAACTTGTCATAAGATCAATTTGTCATATAAAGTTTTCTTACACTTTATTCTGGCCCCTTTAGACACCTGTTTGCGTAAAAGGTCTTCAATTATCTACAGAAATAAACTAATGACTGAATGAGACAGTAATGAGTCTTTTATAACAGCTGTGAGGTGCTGAAAGCTGACCTTGTTTAAAGCTTTAAAATGTTAGTTATAATTATCCTGAAAATGTGCTTAAACTTAATAACACCAGATGTTCAAATCATAAAATTATAGTGAAAAGCTAGTTGGTAATTTGACCCCTTTCCTCCCAACAAGACTTTGGCTCTTTTGACCTTGATACTGAGGTGAGATTCTGAGAGGGTTTGAGAGAAAAGGTGAAATGATGTCAGATATATATTTCAGTCGTAAGAAGTGCTATATAAATGTAACCTTTGACTGCCTATTTTCCAAAACACAACTCAAAGCTCTGTTTACCTGTATAATATTTTCTTGCTTGTTGCTTGTAGGTGGATCTAATAATAGTGAAAAACATACACACAAGATATCTTTGGGCAATGATTTTCAATGGTCTACATGTATAGTCATCAAAATAACAGACAACTACACATTCTCATTCACGCTTTTATGGTTCAAAGATTGCATTTTATCTAATCACATTTATATTAGGTTTATTATGTAGTACAATTAATAGAAAATACTAACTTTTTGTCCATGCAGTTTGTTATGAAGCTTATTGAGTGCTGTCACATAAATATATTTAAGTTTTTTGTTTCAATGTACCCATTTGAGAAAAATTTACCTTGCCCCAGAACCAAGCTTAGCCAAGCCTATTGTAAAAGCATCTCTTGGGGTCTAAATAAGTCAGCTGTGTACTGTCTGCATCTAATTATAAAGCGTGGTGCATAGTGCATAGTGTGTGGTGAGCATGCTAGCCATTGTTAACTTTAGAAAAACTCCGCACTGGTCTCCAGGAGTTGTGGAGCTGTGATTCTTTAGAAACTTGTAGTGGTGAGGAATAAGTGAGGAATAACTTTGGACCACTGCAAACAATTTAAAATGAACTAGTTCTGCAATGTTGGCCTGGGTCTACCACTGCCTTATTTGACACCAGTCTCTTGCTGTTTTTGAATTTAGAATTTATTATTACCATTTATGTATTTTTTCTCTTTGTTATTACAACATATTGTAATGTGTGAGCTACTGTGTCCAACTAATATTCCCTTGTGGACCAATAAAGTTTAGGTGTAAGTCTAAGTGCATCATAAGTATATTTTTGTTCTTGCTTAGGTTCCCCATACCGCGACAAAGTGACCATAGCCATCCTCCAGCTGCAGGAGGAAGGAAAGCTGCACATGATGAAGGAGAAGTGGTGGAGGGGCAACGGCTGCCCCGAGGAGGACAACAAAGAGGCCAACGCTCTCGGTGTAGAGAACATCGGGGGCATATTCATTGTGCTGGCGGCCGGCCTCGTGCTGTCTGTGTTTGTGGCCATTGGAGAGTTCATCTACAAGGCCCGCAGGAACGCTGACATAGAGGAGGTCAGTGAGAGGGCGTGGATCATCCAATTAGCAACATGAAATATAGTGCTTTTTAGTATAGCCTTTAAATTCACGCTAATCAGTACTGGTATTTTGCCAGACAGTCATTTTTAACGGGGCTTATTGTGTGTACCATGTAGTTTCAGAACACAGTAACAACTGAGTTACACCAAACCTCCTTTAGACTTTCTAACTGTATGTTTATCTGATATACATACTGAAAACATCAAATATATGAAGTGAGATGAATGGAATTTTGTAGTAATGTAGTAAAGAAAAAAAGTTAAATTACTCTCTTACAACCAAACCTTACAATTATTCAGTCTTTGCTTTGTTTTTTTTTCTTTACTACATAATTCCATATATCTTACTTCACTTACTTAATGTATTTTGTATGTATATCAATTGTATAAAGTAGAAACATAGTAGAAAAAAAAAAAAACATCGAATGAGAGGGAGAGTGTATAGCCTAAATACTGTTAACTCCCCATATGGTGTTCGTATACTTTCCTCATAAATTTGGTGAGATTGCTGGCAATGCAGATTTTTCTGTCTTATATTTTTAGCTCCTTCTGTTTGTGTGCAGTCCATTATTTATTTATTTGATGTATATTTTTGGTTCTTTTCTTTCCCTCCATCTTGTGCTTGCATGCTGCGTCAGGCGTTTTGTTTCTTTTACGGGGTGCAGTCTCGTCAGTTCCAGCGGCGCGGCTCCACCTCCTCCTCGGGCACTTCTCTGTCCACTGATCTGGAGAGCGGGCGGCTGCTAGGAGACGACACTGACTAACACTGACACACACAATGCACAACTATAGGTTTGTGAAGAAAATGTGCTGACCTGACCTGACCTGACCTTAAATAAATTCCCAGCTTTTGGTTTGTGCGTTTTTCCATCCTTCACCCGTAGAAACCCTTCTGTCTGTTATCCTAAAGATGTTCTGTTAGTATATTCCCAACAAAATGTGTTCTATCGCTGCTTTACAGTCTTTCTATTTGTATTAAACATCTACTCTATTCTACTTGTACTACTACTAATTGTACTACTACTAATTGTACTACTACTTTTACACTTTCCATACACTAATGATTTTGATGCTACTGCTACGATTTGACCATTATGCAGCCCATACTGGTGAACAACTGCTCCTTTTCCTTCTCATTTTACTGCCTTTTTAACAGAGGTAACTACTACATAGTCCTACTTAATACTGCTACTATTATAAATGCTGCTTTGTCTGCTTCTACAGTATGTGAGAAATGCTAATGTAATGCCTTGCTCTTATTTATATTTAAGCAGTTCTGCATTTTTAGCAAGCAGCTCAGGATTTTCAGCAAGTTACCACCGAATACCTGGCACAAAGTTACGCATAATTAACTGTTGTGTTGAGGCACTCTTGAAACGCCTGCAGGGAAATCAAATGATAGGAAGTTAGTTGAGCGTGTTTCTCACCTCATTAGTTGCTTTGGTACAGAGACTGCGAGGCTGAAATTTGGATAAGAGTGATGGGGAATGTCCTGGGTGAAGGTCCCTCGACACAACCATGTTTTCAAAAGTTAAAATCTGTAACAAAGAGTCGTTGTGAACAGTACAAAGGCGAACTAGGAAAATATTTCTTTGTGCTCTCATGGGTTGGTTTGTTGGTGGATTTGTTCTGGTCAGATTTTGATGAACTGTAAAAATTTAGCTCTGTAAAGGAGAACAAAATAACTTGTTTTGTTGCCTGGGATCCAGAATACACACTTCAATACTTTATGAAGCTGTGAGTCTGGTCACTGGTGAATCTTCCTGTTTTCAAATGAGTGTGATTGACAGGATTAGCCAATTGGGGACATGGTGATTATTCTAGATGTGCCAAGAAAGTGGATTAGGGAATGTCTTTGAATACTTGTAGTTGCAATACCAATGATAATTTATAGTATGGTAGTAGAATTCGTAATACAGATCGGAATCGAATGTCAGGCCCCATTAGCAAAATCTGCCATGTTTGTGTCCAAACGTGCAAAAATTATATACATATTTATATCTTAAACTCACTATGGTCTGTGGTGGTTAACTGAAAAATCAATGGGTGTGATGACACAATCCCAGATTCTATCGTAATTGTGGGAACATTGGTGAACACTCACAGTAATAGCACGGTAACAGGATGGGCAATGTGGTTATATATGTCAGCTCTATTTCCATATTATTACTCCAAAAATATAGACCAGATCTCTTGGTAATTTAGTTTTCATACAGTGTTAGGATAGAATTAAGATTAGGATTAATCATATTACCATGAAATAAACTAGAATGACAGATGTGGCCTGTTTCCCTCAGTAATTACCATGTTATGAACATAATTACACTTAATTTACATTGCTATCCAATTACTGACATTTCTTTTTTTTAAATGTGTTGCTGAAATAATTAATGTAGTTCTATCTTGAAAATATGGTTATAATTGTATAGAAAAATATGATAATTTTTTGTTTCCACCTCCTCTTCTTCTCGTGTCTCTCAGTCTTACTGATGCTGTCTCCAAATCCTGGAGCCTGTCGTGGGAAACCCTGCAGGACGCCACTTTACCTTTTGACGCGCTAAGAGCTAGACTTAGACATGAAAAGCCTGCCAAAGACACCCAAAAACCCTCCGATTTCTCTGTGTGAACAATGATAACGTGCCAAATAAATTTACTAAGCACAGCCTCGAGGAAAGGACAAAGTAAATAGCAAATAAGGAGTATATGGAAGATTAATGAGTTCAATGAAATTCACTATTCTTCAAAAATAATACCAGCCTGGGGCACACATCATCTTGGTTATAATTACCAATTTATGAATTCTTATCTGGCTCCAAGGGCTTCTTTTCTGTGTTTAATTGGATTTTACGATGAGACACCAGTTCACAACATACTGGATACATTTAAATAGTGCTTTGTTGACAGTTCTGGATTTCGGCTGAGTCACAGAGCTGCAGGCGATTCACACATAGGCACTGTTTTTGTTTGTACAGAAATTAGCTGCAGTGTTTTTGAAGTAAAGGCCAGGGTTCCATTATAGAAACAGGTGGGAGATGCTCTCAAGATTATAATAAATGTTGGCTACTTTATATTGGGCTTTACGTTACACAGTCTGACTGTTTAGCTTTAAACCATGTTATCATGTTGTTTCCTCACCACAAACATACCTGGAGTTGTACTTGGTTTCATTCACATGTTTGAGTAACCCTTTATTATTAGTGTCTCTGTATTTCCAAAACTCAGAATGCTTTGTTCCACCTTGTCATGTCATGTTGTGGTAATTTTGAAGTTGACAGGTTTTACCTTTAATTCAGTAAAAATCGGCAATTCCAGGGCTGAAATAATCCACACGATTCTAGTGATGGCGTATGGAAAAAAAAACACAGTGAAGCTCTCCCTGTATTACCCCATGACATCACAAGGAGGAACAGTGTGTTTTCTGTTTGAGAGAAGAATTCAGCCCAGATTTGCTGGGTTTATGTAAATGAAACAAAACACAACTCCTGGTATGTTTATGATGAGTAAACCACTATCCTGCACCATCTCTTCTATGTTTGCTACGTAATTATGACACATTTAGTTTAGCGCCACTAATCCTACTACTAATAATTTTTCTACAAACTGCAAACACAACTACTACTTAGTAAACCCAACCAGTAAGCAAGTTGCAGAATCGTATTCCAGCTAAATTAAAACTTTTTCCTTTTTTGTCCTTTTTGTTTGTTTTTGATCATGAATAGTTCCTTAGAAAAAAAATCCACAAAAGACCAGCTCAAAGTGTTTTGTAAGTAATTACATTTTTTATTTTTTCAGTGCGTGTCAGTGAGTGCACTGATGGAGGAGCTGGGCCTCTCTCTGCAGTGTTACAAAGGCACCAGGCGGAGGTCCCGAGCCCACAGTATCCCACGCTCCACCTGTATGTTCTGCCAGCCCCATCGCAGCACCAAGAGAGATGAAACAACCCGGGACTCTAGCATTTGACCTCTGAACTTTGACCCTGGAGAAGGAGCTGTTGATGAATTAGTGGCACTTTTACCCTTGTCATTGTGTGTAAGTCCATCATGTCTACAGTAGGTGTAGTGAAGTCAACTAAGAAGGTTAGTAGTAATAACTAAAGGAAGCAATCTCATTTTGACATCTGCCTTTCCCATTCAAAACTCTTCTCAACACTGCCATTGTGTAAATGAAAAACATGGATTTTCAATAAAACATTTTTGCATTTTTCTAAACACGTTGAGTTATTTCTTATTTGTCAGTACACGGTCTTGGAGTACATCTGATTTGTCAACTAAATGGTGTCAACTAAATCACATACACATGCTGATTGAAAAACCTCTACTGGGATCTGCGAAATACAAAATGCATGGAGGTAAAATTTTGTTTAGAAAAATAGATAACATTTGTGCAACTATAAAAATGACAGAATCATTTTTCATTTAGCTAACTGTCTTCCCATATTGTACACTTCATTTTTAGCCTGAACACTGTACAGGTCTGTAGTTTAAAAGACAAATGTTGCTCTCCTTGCCTCTGCAGCAGCAATATAATCTCTTAGTTCATGCAACTCTTTTAGCCATTTTTACTCTCATCGTACTGCAGACCTCTTCATCAGATCTCCAGATGTTTGACACGACATATGCGTCTTCTTTGTCTTCATCCATACTGAGTTTCTGCCTTCCTGTCAGCGACAACACATTTAAATGTCAAACTGATTCATTACTACAGCAACTACTACAACTTCTAGTAGTTTTTCCTATTTCAGAATAATGAAAAATTAGGACTGTTGCCATAGTGATTTGGAATTTAAAACGAAATATATCTTTTGAATCAGAGAAAGTCTTCAAAATGTTGCATATACCAGGAAGCTGAAACCCAAAAATACTAACACTACCAGTCTTGTAACAGTGACCCCAGCTCTGGCCACTTCAGTTTATATACTGATGATGTGTCCTTAGGCAAGACATATCACCCCTCTTGCCCATGTATAATTGCCTAAGTGGTGTGTGAGAGCCATTGGTGCATACTGGCTGCTGTGTTTTTTTCATCTAGTCCTAGGGCAACTGTGGCTTCAGTTCGAGCGCACTATGTCCGAGTGTGGGGAATTCATGAATAATGCAATGTAAAGCAACTTTGATTAAAGCACTATAAAAGGCTGTAGGCTATTATCTTTTACATACAGCATTCTAATATCAAACTGACCATCCAAAAGGAGTTAATCAAGTGTTTGCTACCACTTCAAATTCTGAAAGAATAAATAATACGTAATAAATGCAGTGTTTTGTTGTGCCATTACTGCTCTAGTCTGGTCTGTAGTTTGTGTGTGTCCTGAGAGAATTGGTGCAAGCTTTTCTTAATCTCTTCATGTAATGAGTTTTCTCTTTTTGGTATTCAGATTAATTCTGGGATTGGGTTCAGTTCAATGTAATAGCGTTTGGTTGTCTCTAATCTCCTAACCCCATAATTCTTAATCAAAACCAAGGCAGTATTTTTATAGCTTGATCTAATCCATCATGAATGAGGCCATGGATTACACATACTGACCTTGAAACGCTACAGCTCGAGCTCAGATATAGTGATAACCTTAAGACCTCACCTGGACAACAGCCAAAGCTGTTTTGGCCCCATAACCTTGAGAAAGTTTCATAGCTGACCTGGCAACCAAGCCTCAACGCAGGGGTGAAGGACAGTAGCTAGACATAGTGTAATCTGTGGTTCTGCTGCAATCATGTAATGTATTTATTATAAAATACATTTTCTCTGCTCTGTTGCCTATAGTTGAGTCAACTGAAAACTACAGTCACTAACCTTTCTATTATTGCCTTGAAATGACCATATCTGATTTTACAAAGAAATAATCCTAACCTATAGCCTATATATTTATACATTTATTAAAAATAACAGGCTAATTGTTTAGGCAAAGCCTATTGATTAGATGGTAAAAATTCATTTTACACAATTGATTTAGTCTGTGGGCTGTTATGTGGGCAATAAACCAATGTATTTTCCATAAATTATCTTAAATTACTGCTTCGTTCTTTAAATTACCTTAAAGGGCAGGTCGATGTTCAAAACAAAACAAAACACACAACACAGCACAATGCATCTGCACATATCTCTGATTTTCTGCCTCTCTGAATCTTAAATGTCACAGAAATCAGCCCAAACCTGTCAAGCGTAATTGACATTTAAGAGCCTTCAGTGGTACAGTAAAAAACACACACACAGACCAGGCTTTGTGTACACCTGTGTGCGTGCAGCACCTCTTCAGCGAGTCTGAGGCGTCAGCTCTGTGTCAATGAAGACAAAGTGCAGAGATGGCCTTTCAATGAGCCCAGCATCATTTATCCTTCTCACTCTGTGTTGACTTCTCCATTTTACTGTATAGGGAAGTGAGGGAATGCCGCCCTCTGCTGGAGATAGCCAGCAAGGGCACTCCTCATTTTGATAGTCGTTGAACGCTTTGCACAATAAAACCCTCTTTATACTGCCTGAATGTTAAAAGTTAACCTAGTCTATTAGGGTAATATGTTTTGCCAAAATAGGCTATATGCCTATGCTAGTTAGCCAAAGCTGCCGTTATTTTATATGTATTTTACTATTGTCTAGAAAATGAAATGAAGTAGAGTTATTTTGCCTCAGCTGTGTTTCATTTTCTATTCTGATTGCTCTTTTTGTTGACAATAAAATACCTTATCCCATTATAGACAAAATATTACCTGTCCAGTCCACGTGCTCTGATAAAACAGAATAGAAGGGACTGGCTGGTCAGGCAAGACAAAATGCATCCAGACTGTCTCACTGCAAAACTATTGCAACCTCCCAGTATGAGCATTATCACACTAAAGTTATTGGCATTTTTGTGGGCTTTAGTCATGTCATGTGACACTTTTAATTGGGCTGGGGGCTGGCCAAAGGGGGGAGAGATCAGCGTGCCGTTCTTCCGCCCTCTCACTGTACCTCATGCTTCACTGTGCGCACAGAGTCTCGATAACATGAGAAGTCAACACTGGATGCCTTAAGCAAAACAATTAAAACCTCTCTGTGTCTTAATTTTTTATAGGGTTTATTTTTTGACCTGTTTTTGCAGGAATCTTTAGGGAAGAGATAAGACTAAAGACAGGAGTTTGTTTTTGCACGGGGTTTTCTGGACCGTGTGTGTTTGTTTTCAGGTAAGAATTAGATCCTATGTATTCTATCGTTTTTCAGTTCGTAAATAATGCCAACTAAACATGTTACAACATTGAGTATTGTTTTAGATGTTATGCTGAATGCAAAAAAGCACGAAAAAGTATTGAAAAACTATGTATTTGTCATAAATCACAATATTTTGAATTGAATCACCAGATCTCCACAACATTAGGCCTGTCTTCCCTTTTTGGTCTTGTAAACACAAACATTTCATTTTCTGAACTCTTAATAAAGGTCTAGACGTGTTCTGGGTGCACACACATTAGTGGGGTTATTGGAGGCAAATAGGCTGATATAAAAAGCTTGTATCTTCACTTCTCCAGCCCCGCTGTCAAAGCCCCCTAATTATTTAATCCTTGCGCTGCAGCTACTCTAAACGCGCCGTGTGAGGGCTGTGTGTGTGTTTGTGCAGGTGCTCAAACTTGAGCAGCTGTGATTCCGTCGTATGATTTTTAGGATAAGTACATTCTTAGTTGTGCTGAACAAGGGACTGACCTTTTTGTAAGTGCATTTCTTTGCAACCAATTAGTCAAAAGCGGTGAAAAAAATGCATGTTAAAAGTCAAGTAGAACAAAAAAAGATGCAGGTAGAAAAATCTTACTCACACAGACATTGCACTTGACTGAAGCTATACATAAATATATTAAAATCAGTTCTGTATACATAAACATTGCTAAGTGATCTGTTGTCTCCCACAGGAATAAATGATCACCTCAACCAGAAGAGTGTCCCCAGATAAATCTGAAGTTAGAATTGCCTTCAGCCTTAGCCAAACAACAGGTACATTTTCACTGATACACAGTATCTGACATAAACAATTCTTATTTTCAATTAAAACTAATCCAGTCCTTGTTGGCCAAATGCATTTGGGATTTAGCATATACCTTACACAGTCTCCTTCATCTTTTTGGTATATTGTAGTTTTTAGAAATAATTTTATAAGACTAAATAAGAAAAGTCTGACCATGTAATTTTTATTAGTTTATAAAATTCATATTTCAACCTCTTGGCTTCACGTACCACTGAATAACATCATAAATCTAGTTACAATTATAAGCCACTGTTTAGATAAAAAATTTTATGTTTTAATCATATCTAAATTGGCCTATGTACAAAGCTGAGATTGACATGAGTCCAAGTCATTGTTCTAAACAAGTCTTGAAGCAGTAATTGTGATTCAGAGAACTGTATCTGCGTCCTGTACTGGAGTATTCTGTCTTTGGCGTTAAAAAACTCTTCTCTGTTTGATTGGTCAGATATTCTTGTCACTACATTGTTATTTCACAATCGTATGGCTTAAGTGCACTTTGTTTTCAGTGTACTGTACTTTTAATTTGATATGTGGCTTTACTGAGCCATTAAACATGTGGTCGTGATGACAGTTGAACTCAAGGAAACAGTGGTGGACTCTACTCTCACTGAGCGTGCTGAATGCATGGAGCACATACTGGACATAGTTCCCACCAAAACAGAGCCTGCACAATCGGCCCCGCCCCTCACACCCTATCACTTTAACTGCATTCATTCTTCTTCACTGCCGTCGAAACAGGTGCTCCCTCTATTTCTGTAGGAGCACAGCATATTAAAAACAAACCACACATGCACGCTCCCCCAGCTGTACCAAGAATTAAACATGAATGATTGTGAACGCTGTGGTGATATTTGTCTTTCCCTAAAGCATGCGCCGATGACTTCGCCTTCACCTGGGTGACCCTGCCCCCTCCCTCTCTCTCCCTCTTATGTACAGTGTAGGTGTGCAGAGCTGTCTGTCTGTCAGGATGTTTTAGTGCATGGGGCCAGCTCCTGGGGCAGCAGCTGCAGATGCAACAGCAGAGTCAGGTTTCCTCTAATACTGACAGTGTCCTGTCGACTGATTCACTGCTTAGCTTTAGAACAGGGGCCTATATTTATGAGCAGTTAACACTTCAGTCTGGCCCCGCCCATTGCACAGACCTTGGGATTTCTCCTAGGACGCGAAAGGCAGAAAGCAAAATGGAATTTCCTAAGCACACAGCATATATTTATATATATATATATATATTGTTATGATGTGCCATAATAAACATACTTTTAACATATACATTTATGAAATAAAGCATATTAAATGTAAAAAAAAAAATACTTAAAGATAAGGTATATAACTTGCACTCTTCCTGGTTTGAAAAAGCCTGGGTTGCTAGTGCCTTAACCTGCATACTGAGAACAATAGTTTTTAGTTTTTTAGTTTTTAGTAACAAAAGTTTTTTCATTCTCATTATATGGACAGACCATGCCTCATTTGAAAGCTCAGAACCTCCAGAATTCACTCACTGAACTACAGAGGCTGCACTAGCACTGGTTAATGATTGGTGATTAATGAATGATGAATGATGATGGTTATGCTTTAGGTAGTAAGATTCAGATCACAGAGAGGCATTTTAGCTTTAAACCAAAAGAACCAAAAGAAAATGTAAAACATCACAAGATGAAGGGTGGGTCAAATGCAGAGAACACATTTTGAAGTCCTTAGTCTGTCTGGTCTCTTTGGGAATGCATGTCTTTTGTGAACATATTGACAAAAGATATTATTAAAGCATATTATGGGAAAACAGCCTTAATCTTTCCCCCACTTGAGCTCTGTGGTCTATATTTTGCACTCTTCAGTCTTGTGGACAGCCCTGTCCTGTTGGAGGATGATCCGTCAGCCCTTGGTGACTTCATGCCAGACATACTGCACCCCCCACGGTCACTGTCCCGAGCCGAGCATGAGAACTGTATTTATCCTCTTCATAATTGGCCCCATGGCCCAGGGCCGCTCCTCTAATACTCTGCTTTTAGAAGGTTGCATCACCCCAGGATTCTCCACATGTGTTCCACAAACTTAGGACAGGAGGGGGCTGGGGGTGGGACATAGGGACATTTCTGGTGGGACAGGGGGAGTGCCTGTTTGTGTTTGACCATACATCTGCTCTGTCCACTGTCCTCTGCATACACACAAATGTAAGGAGCATACTCCTTGGTTTTAATTAATTTGCTTATTTTCCTAAAATGCTCACTGTATTTGTCAGAAATATAATTTTGCTCAAAGACTGAGGGATATTTAGTCAGTAAGAAACAGCAATTGTAACAGTAGAAGTAAGTTTAAAGCAGTACTTTATGTGTAGTGACATTAGCAGTAAGTGTCGTGGAAAGAGTTAGAAACATGTCTGTTTTGGTTGCCATACACACTAGTTTTACCATGTTGCCAGATAGGGGACATTTCATTTCCACACTTTGGGACATTTTATGAGGCAGAGAAAGGCATTAAACACCTGTCTGTGGAGTAGTCTCTAGATGCACTTAAACAGAGAGCATTTAATAATAGCAAATGCTTTATAGTGGTGACTGCTCCCAGGCTAATGCACTCATAAATACAGACCACTAAGGTGGCATTTACAAGTATCCTCCATACTCTGTTGCCACTTATCTGCATCTCTATAATGGTTAAAAACTAACAGACTTTTTGGTTTTATTTTGTAGATGTAAAAGATGACGATGACCTCCAAAACAATTTCCCTGATCTTGAACGGCGCTTGCAGGTAAATATGTGCTCTATTACAAAATTAGGAGGAAAGGAAACACATATTTTACTGAAGGACTACTTTAAACTATGATTATGTACATAGCAGAAAAACAAAACCAGTGATACAAAATGTAAGAGTAAAAAAATTAAGATAAAAAAACATTTAGCATGTCGGCTGACAGTAGTCAGTTTTGTTTCTTTATTACATTCCTCCAATATAACCTTGTTTTGTTTTTATATAGCTAAGCATTATTCTTGTCAGTTTGAGATAATGAAATGGAGCAGTTAGTGCTCCTGCTTCTGAGTTGAGTTATATCCTTGGGCCTTCAAGCCCTACAGTAGTTATACTCCGTGAATTATAATCTCTACCATTATTACATTTAGATCTGCCATACCCCCATCCTGTGTTGTCAGAATAATTTTATTGCTTTTGTTTCTATTGCAGCCAGTGCCCCCTTGTGTTTCTCTAAGGGAGAGCGTTCAGGTGTACAGGGAGCACTGCAGAATGGCCAAAGAGTTTCATCAAGTCAAACATGAAATATCTGTCCTTGAAGACCGCAAGTAAGCCTTTTAAAAATAGAACATATGCATGTAGCATCGGTAATAGCAGCACTAGCATTAATAGCCTATTAGTTTAAGATATAGATATCTTGTTGTTGGTTTACGACATGGCTCAAAAATTTCACATTTTCCAAAATGACCTCTAGGTGGCACTGTTTATGTTTATTTCAATCAGAATAGTCTTAAGTATAATACTGTATAAGCTCTCTTTTTATCTTCATTGTGCATTTATTATTTGAAACTAAATATGACTAAACTGGTCATTTGCACAACAGATAAATATACAACACATTTACTGTTGCAGGCTCTGGCTCTCACACACCAGTACATCTCTATCACTTTATTTATACTCAGGCCTAAGCAATAAATCAATCTGGCTAAGTACACTCACTGATGTAATACAATCTCAACTGCTAAACTCTGTTAATTCATTGTGGTTTAATACAGCCAGTAGAAGTTTCTACAGAGAAAGAATAATATTACAATTGATCAGGGGCTTCACAAATCTAATGTAGCCTGTAAACTGATAAAACTGATTTTATGTTAACTATATAAACCAATAAACAAGTGCATAGGCTAAATTATTTAAAGAATGAAGAGGTTTAAAAAGAAGTAATCTGTTCTTGTAACATCAACAGTGGTGTCATTCATCTGTATTGTATACGCTCGCCATCCATAATGTGTGCATTATGGCTCAAAGCCAATGTTGTTTTCAAGGATCTGTATCCATATATGGAAACTCCTATACAAACAAAGGATTAGTCTATGCTATTCTTATCAAGTACATACTGGCATACTTTAGAATTACTGTATCTACATGAGAAATTCCCCTTTCTTAATCTGTTTACCTCAAACCCTCCAATTGTTCTGCTGTCATGTCATTGTTGAAGAGAAGCTTGTATTTTACCCCTCTGTGTATTCCGCTGCTTTGTGAATGGGCACTTCCCAGTAATACAACCCTGACATTCAAACAGTCCCAGGTGTCATTTAGCCAATCATATTTCATTATGTGTTCACTTTCCCCTTTCACACCATCTAAAGTGCACTGGCTGATGATCACTGTTGCTTTTTTTAGATTGTCACGCTAACGTGTATACACCTTTCTATTTAAAGATGTATTCACAATTACAAATTGTATGAGATTATGCTGAAAACTGGATATTTGGAGGGACTTGAATTAAGTGAGCATTTTGGAATTCATAGTATGAACCCAATGCAGTAGGCCAACAATCCTCTGGCTAAGATCCTATCTCAAGATCTGGTTGGTTGCAGGGCCTGTAGTCACACACTGCTGCTGACAGGTTGACCAGAGACCCTTAAACTAATTCATATTACAAATCAAAGTTGTTTTAATATGTATTGCAGTCATTTGTCTAACTGAAATCAATGGACTAGGTTAATGGTTAATAATCTAATGGGCACACTTCTATTGGTCATTGTGTAGTGTACTAGAGTTTGTCAGACCCTTCTCTTGTCGCTGTAGGCGTAAGCTCCTGGCAGAGCTGGTGGAGGATGAGCAGGTTGCTATGGAGATCGCCCGGTTGGAGGAGGAGTTTCGGCGTCTTGTGGAAGAAAACCGCACCCTTGTGACAGTCCACACTGAGCGCGCCCAGCAGCTGGAGATGCTCTGCATGACCAATCGGATAAGGCGGGACTCGTCGTGACCTCTGACCTCCGCAGGACCTGACACCTTCAGATATCGTGATGTGCTGAAAAGCCACTCTCTTCTCTGTGAATAAGCTACTCAGACACCTCTTTACCACCCTCGTTTGGGCTCATCATACAAGAAAACATAGTGTACATGTTCATATTTAAAGTTAGAGTTGGTGGTTATGGGGGAGTATCCCATGTGCATTCTTGGGTCAGGCCATGACTCTAGTCTGTATGTTTCTGCTGTATGTGACTCAGATCATATACCCATCGTTTTTTATTACATTTTTAATCCAAGAAGATGTGTTCTATCTTTAGCCCAAGGACTGGTTTGACACAAAAAAAACTGGTTTAACTTAGTATCATCATTCATTGTTTAAAAGTATTGAAAGAGCCAAAAGTAAATTACATAATAACATTTAAAAAAAAAAAAATCCTCTTGACATTTTTTTTTTTAAATTTAAAGCAATGCTTATTCCTACAGGATAAATGTAAACATGTTCCCAAGTATCCAATGTCATCCCCATAAAGTAAGTATGAATCTTTGTTATTCCAACAGTGGAACTCGTACTGTTTTTGTTTTTCTGTAAGTGTGTAAGCGTTATGTTGACATAACTTTATCAGCTACTGTGATATTCAGGTCCTGTGGAGATTAAACTTATACTGTCAGTGTATGATGTGGTCCAAATGTTCAATCCTAACACTGCTGCGCACTGCTTTGGCGCTGGACTTTTGTTTTATAAAAAGAGAATTCAAAGTTTTCATGAGGAACATCAAAAAGAAGAAGGATGGTTGTTTTACAAGAGTTGTACATTTCTGTCATGTGTCTTTACATGGCAGTGAAGGGGAAGTTAATCTCAAACCCAAACAGTGCATCTATTAATAAAGTGAATTTTTGTTTTGCTGATTGTGTCGCTTCCTTTGTTTCATTTCTCTAAATTTGTTGAGATTTTTTGGCAGCATTTACTTGGAAAAGAGAAGTACTGTATTTTTTCCATTGAGACTATTAAGTCATTTCCGAAATTATGAAAGAGCCTCTATTTACAAGAGACAAGACTTGAAAACAACTTATTCCTCATTTTAACAGTCTATTTAAGTGAAATCATCATTGCAGTGCAAATATGCACTGCAAAGATGATTCTGCTCCTATATCAACCTCATACAACAAAAAATAAAATACAGTATCAAATAATTGAGTTGCATTGCTTGTATCTTTAACTATACAACACAATATATTAAAATATAAGTGAAGTCATTAATTTATTTTCTAGCTCATTTTCATTTTAAAACCACAGTATGTAACTTTTTTTCTCAAAAAGTAATAAAAGCATATTCAGTTTGGTTGAGTTTATTGCACTGAAAAATGTGTCCTAACGTTGAGCTGGCTTGCATTTCCACAAACCTGACGTGTTTCCATGGAGATACTGTTTGTTTGGCTAGAATATTCCACAGTATGGCATAAAAACATATCCGTCTTCATGAAGAATGTTCCAAAATATGGTTTGAACATTCCATGGAATAATACAGGTGACATGCCACCTCCAAAAATGATATACTAAACATTGTTGAAGTGTCAAAGTGTACCACTGCCAATGCTCAAATATCCAGTCACTGTGGTTCAGCCTGGTTACAGTAAGTAAAGAATAACAGCATGATGGCATACTATTATTTCTAAATTATTATTTTTTATTTGACAATATATTATGATTTATTACAACTCAAATACCATACAGTCGCTTAATATTGTTATCTGTGATTAAATTCATTCACACAAGTTGGGAATAAAAATAAATAAAACATTGAATGAGAAGGTGTGTCCAAACTTTTGACTGGTTGTGTATATAGTAGTGTATGTATGCAAGCATTTTCCCTTTTCAATTGTTTAAACATACATTTGTTTAAACATCCGAGGTGTTTGTCTTTAACAGTATACACTTGTTTTATACTTGTGGGAACTGTTTTGATTCCACACACAGGGCTGGGCTTGTCTCAGACTAAATGAGAGCACATATGATTCATAAAAACATTTCTTCTCGCTTCTCATTCCTAAAATGTTTTGTGTTGAATTTAACCATGTAAGCCTATCTTGTCATAAAATATAGTCTTATATTTCAGATCTACTTAATCTCCTCCAATTGTTTTCTGAGGAAATCTATAAAGAGATTTTCTAGGAAACTTTATCCCAGTAGACAAATGCAAAGACAGGATTGGTTACGGAGACAACTGGAAAAACAAAACTGCTGGCTCATTCTTTATCAGCAGAACCGCATGACTCAGCACTAGGTTTGTACACACACAAAGCTGTTGTAACACACTACCACACAACACTCCCTCCCTCCCTCCCTCCCTCCCTCTCTCTCTCTCACTGTCTTTCTGTCTCTCCCTCTCTTTCCCCTCCTCTCATCGCTCACACATAGCCTACAGGGCATATGACTAACTTCAGCTTTTAGTTTGTACTCGAGTCGAGATAACACTTTCTGGGAATTGGCCTGGCTGGACTGCATTCCTGTTTTGAAATAACCATGTGGGATTAACACCAATGTCTTCCTGATTCCTGGTCATTCTGGATATTACAAATCACCTGTGAGGTAAGATTTTTTTTCAAGAATAGTCTACCTGCGTGTGTGTAATGGCCAGAGTGATTAAAAACTTGTATTATAATTTAGTCACTGCTAAAAAACAACAATGGTGTAAGACATTTCTGTTTACTTATGAACTGTTGACGTTCTTCGATGTGTTGTACTTCCTGATTAATTTACTGTTTAATGTTTAATGTTTCGGAGGCAAAATAGATCCTGTTTTTACACACTGTATGACATTTTTACATAGTCTGACATCACCCTAAGATAGTAAAAAGACTGTAAGTCATTTAAATGTATTTAAACACACTGCAGTCATTTCCAAAACAAATAAATAAATAAAAATAAATAAGTAAACCACAGGAAATAAGAATTTTGATCCACAATGTCTAAAATGTCAATGTTTCAATGCGTAGTGTTCATGTTGAGTGAGTAAGAATTCTTTCTTTATTTTCCCTTTATTTTTGCCAAGATTCTTTGGTGTTAAAAGTTTTCCAGTCTTTACTTTGGAGTTATTTCTCTCCCCAAATCCACAATCAGGTGGATGAAATCTGGACCATTCAACATTTCCATTTTTTATATGTTTCTTTGGTCTTGCTGCTAGAAAACTGCTGTGTTTTAGGTTTAGTCTAGTTGTTAAAAGGCTGTAAAAGTAAAGTGATTACAAGAGGTGTACTATTAACTGATGGCATTGTTTATCTAATCAACTTCACTATTATTTTTTAATAGTCCCAGATGGCCATGGCAGTCCCGGGCCGGGCGTCAGTGTTTACATTTGAATCCTCGGTGCACCCCAGTCACGTTCTGATCTCTCTGGAGGAGCAGAGACAGCGGGACATCCTGTGTGATGTTACTGTGGTTACCAATGAGGGACAGAGTTTCAGGGCCCACCGCTCTGTCCTGGCATCCTGCAGCGAATACTTCTCCCAAAGAATCTCCTCTCTGGCTGGGCAAAATACTGTCATCACACTGCCCTCAGAGGTGAGATAGTGTACCTCAAAAACAAAACATAGGTTTGTTAATAATTCATCCATAGTTACTTCAGAATGGCTTGTCTTCCAAGCCTTTCTACTCATTGTTTTATCTCCATGGAGATGCTCTTGGCTGGCATGTTACACGGTGTGGCATTATATTTATTTATTCAAGAGCAGATTTGTTTTTGGGTTTTTTTTTTTGCTAAAGAAATACACCAAAAAGAAACAATTTTTCTATAGGCTGACCTGCAGCTTAGCGTATTGATGTTTCCTCCTGGTTTCCACAGACAGGTTTAATGCCATATTCTGGAATTCTTTAGGTATAGCAATATTATGGCCAGAAAAGTCACATAGTGTAAATTTACAATATTCCCATAGTTCATTTTTTTGGGAAGGAGAGAGACAAGTTATCCCTTCATATCATATTATTATTTTTTCTGTTTAATTTTCTTCTGTTTGTCTTGTTTACAGGTAACTTCTGCTGGTTTTGAGCCATTGTTGAAATTTGCCTACACATCCAAACTGCTTTTCAGCAAAGAAGACGTTTTAGACATCCAAAACACAGCGACTACTCTTGGATTCAAAGACTTGGACAGCGCATGTTTTGATTTCCTCCTCCCCAAATTCTTCTCCAGCAACAAGGCCTGTGTAGTGAGAAAGACATGCTGTAAGAATAAATTTAAGAAAGATTTATCCAGAAACACTGTTGATTCAAGTGAGTATTTGGATGACAAAGAAGCAAAACCTGTTGGTGACTCACCATCACAAGAGGAAGTAGCATTTGAGAGTAACAAGTCAGACACTATCAAAATTCAGAATGCTGTGTGCTTTTCGTCACCTGTAACACCCGCAGCACCTGTAAGCAAAATACCTGCTAATGACAATGTTGTTCAATGCCCCAAATATCGGAAGTTCCAGATGGCCTGTGGTAAAGAGACAAATAAAAGCCAGCAAAAACCTGTGATAAACTACTACTGCAATTCGCCATGTTCTAGCAACAGTGAAAGTGGAAGTTGCCCCTTAAGAGTGTCCAGACAGGTTGAAGACTTGTTTGACGTCAGATTAGGGAATTTCCATCATGTTGATGCCAATAAAGTGGACACAACAAATGAAAAGACACAAGAAATTGAAATGCAGGACAACATCAGAACAACATGCTATGCAGATGGTATGTGCAGCAGTAGTGACGTATCAAACAGGTTAGAGTCACCTGAGTGCACTGCAGAGGCCCAAGAAGTCATGAGGTCATTGGGTCATAACATGGCTGCGGTGAACAACAACTTTGCCCAGAGAGGATGTGTGAAAGCTGATGAGGAAATCACTGACAAACAAGATAGAGATAGGCAACAAAATGTGGTTCAAAATTGTAATGGAAAGTGGACATTAGAAGAAGCAAAAACACCAAACTCTTCTCTAGATTGGTTCAATGTTCAGCCTAACTCCTCATTTCCTCCAGACATGGACAAAAGCACAAGTGATTGGACATTAGACATTAGACCCAAGTCTTCTGAGTGTGAGGGGACATCCCAGTCTGGGCTTTCCTCTCTCAACTCTGGTGAAGATTCAGACACAGAAGAGGTGGAGGGCTACTGTGATGTCTATGTACAAGAAAGAGCAAAAGAGGTAAGACACAGTATCAAATACATAACCAAAGAGCTGACTCGTTATAGTAGGAGGTTAAATATTAACATGGTGAAAGTTGTCTGACTGTGCAGTTTAGAGTCCAGCTTAGGTGAACTTGACAGCTCAGCCAGTGTTTCTTTTTGGTCTCATTATAGAAACAAATTTTACTGTTTGGATGCATGTGTAGAGCTTCTCATGATCTGTGCCAAATTAATAAATCAACACTTAGTCCACAATATTGTTACATGTAATAGGTAAACTATGAAGTAGTGTGGCATTAACAGAAGCACTAATGCAATGTAACCGTGCTGTTTTAAGGTCACACTGACTGTTAATATTTAACACCACTGCTGACTGCAGTTTATGTGAGCAACTACCTATAACAGATATTTGGAAAACTTATAGGAAGTAATTTTATTATGAATAGTTATTTTAAGCAGAGGCTATATCTTTAGATCAGAATTGGTTGGGTCAAGTGTAAAATACTGGTGCATGATTGCAGCTGGAGAGACAGTCTCAGTATTAGACTGAAGCGTATATGAGTCCAAAATACATCCAAGTTTTTTAAGAGTCAAGATCAAAACATTTACCCGAAAATGACGGCACAAACGCATTTTGCTTTGTGTCTTACATTACTCACACTTCACATTTATATAAATTTCATAGAGCAGAAATAAATGTGTGTGACTTGCTCTTCAGGGCCACGTACCTAAACAAATATTCCTTCACATTCATAGGTGAAGCTGCCTTATCCTGTAGACCAAATGCTTGAGATGAGCAGAAACGATTTCCAGGAGCTTTTGGATAAACAGAACTTAACACAAGAACAGCTGGAACTGGTGCGTGACATGAGACGACGAAGCAAAAACCGACTTGCGGCCCAGCGCTGTCGCAAACGCAAACTTGACTGTATTTACAACTTACAGTGTGAGATCAACAAACTGGTATGGGACACAATTTTCATCCATAGCCATTTTAATCCTTTGATTTTGGTAAAATATGTGTTTGTTTCAACAGAAAACTGAAAGGGAGAAGCTGATTGAAGAGAAAAATCGACTGTGCAAGTTGCGGCTGAATACGTGCCACAGAGTGTCCACATTGTTCCAGAGAGTTTGTGCTGGCGCTGACCTGCCTCCAGAGCACCTACAGCTGTTAGCCAAATACACTTCTGCTGAATGCCCTCTGGCCTCCTATGTCCCCATCATAGACTCACTTCTGTCATCATCTCAGCTGCATCAGACTACACAGCTGCCCCCTGGTGGAACAGCAGTGGACGGTCACTACTCAGGGACCAATACATAAATGGTAAATGATAACCTCATATAATGATTGTACTGTAGACCTAAATAGCATAACATACAGGCAAGTGCAGCCATAAAAACAACTTGTGACGAGTTGTTTTCGGACCATTTACTATGTAACATTGACTTTCTTTTCATTTTAATTTAACTTGTTGCATTTGACAGTTCACAACACCTTTACAATTCAGCTCAGAATCATTCACCAATATAAGAACACAATTCACTAATCTGCACATGTTTTAAGAAATAGAAGTATATTGGAAAATACTTCACAGTGGGTGTGGATCTATAAAAGTCACCTTTTGAAGTGAAATATTTAATAAGCAGACTCTTGCACTGTGTCTTCTAAGTCATTTACAAGCAGGCTGTATTTGTAATATACTGTATTAACTCAGGGATTATGTAACCATTACCAAGGGTGTGATCTCTTCTATTTTAAGTGGTACACTACTCTTGTAATGTAGGAGATCTTGTCACAGTACATTCCATTTGACCACAGGGATATGGATCAACAGTCAAAACAGACTGATTAACCATGACTAACAATGACAGGGCATGATTGAGCAGTGTCCAGATTTTAGTCTCTGCCCTCATGTCTGCCTCTCTGTATTACACACTGTCATTGTGGTGGACTCCTTTCAGCTGACCACACTGACACAGCCTTCCCCCACACTTCTCACTCTCGCAAACAATGACTTAACAGACCTCTGGTGTTGGTATTCTGTTTCTTGGGTTTACTTAGTATTTAAGTGCATTACTTTTTGAGATCATGAGTGTATCAACTTTGTGTTTGAGAGAACACAGACCCTCCAGGAAAATGTAGCTCTAGAACAAGACACTTGACTTTAGTCAAACTACAAAAGTATTCTAATGTGTCTTTAACTATCTGTGGAATTTTAAGTATTGTGAATAAAATATTCAGGATCTATCAATATCTTTGAACCACAGGACAAACTGGACAGGCAGTGTGAGTTTGAATATTCTGTGTTCCTGGTGCTGAGCGCCCTCTAGTGACACAGTGAGGGTTGTATGATATGTAATATACAAATACTTTTGTATTATATTTTTTCTAAATATGAATATAATGTAATCACAAATTAAAATGATTTTAATAAAACAGTTTAAGGTTAAATTGTATCTAATTTCATTTGACATACAGGAAAAGTCTTTCTCAATGTTGTATTTAGTTTCTAAATACTACTGTTTACACAAGACTATTGTTGGAGCTTGAAGTATGGGCCTAATAAATGTTCTTCCTCTTTTGGGTAGGGGCTATTTTCTTAAAAAGAATAAAAAGTGACATGGCCTTGGTGTTTCCAAGTGCAGGGATCAAAGCGGTCAATGAGTCCTAATGACTGTTGACACAACGCAGTGGGAACCAAAAGTCCATGGGGCAAAAGTTCAAAACCCACCAACACCCTGCACAAAGGTCACCAGTCTGGGAAAGTTTAGCACCACCATTGGTGACAGTTCAACCAAATGGACAACAGATGGCGCCATTGCAGCAGTGATAATGCAGAGGTTCTGACTTATTTTGTTACCTAGAAACTGGACAATTCTTCACATTGAATTAGCTTATAAAAGGTTACATTACACAAGATTCCCAAATGTCATGTATTTATATATTTATTTAAATGACAAATATTACCATTAGTGGGGTAGGCCTAACCATCTTTCTTGCTTTAAGTATATGTTGTGTCTTCTCTTATATCTTTTCTTGCACCTCCGCTCCATGATATGTGGGCGGTTTCTGTGGGTGGTTCTCTGGCAAAGATGGAAAATAACACTGCACAATATGTTGGCTTTTGAATCTTACACTAAACTGTTACTGCTACAGTGAAGTCTAATTAATTTACTGTAAAGTGAATTTTGTTTAATAATAGTGTCCATAACAACATGAGCATTAGTCAGTAGTTTGTGTTTTTTTTTTTTATTTTGGGTAATCACTGGGCCCATTTTGGCAAGTTTCCGTCAGATGCCCTTCCTGACACACCCAGCCACACATGTGACAGTGACTAGAAAGGGTGATAGTGGTGTCTTGCTAAGGCACAAAATAAATATTAGACATCTAGTCAACCGTATTTACATCAGCCTCTCTAACACCAAGTAACTAGGTCCACTTTAAGTTTGCTTTGCCAAGATATCACACTAGCATCCATGTCCTATATATTTATTTTCCCCTCTTTGCCCATGTTAATCTCAATCCCAGTCCACAACATATAACATAGAGCTGTCCTTAAACACAATTCTAATCATATCCATCCATGAAAGTGTACAAATTTTATGGTTAAATGTGTGTTTGCTAAATGTTTTGGTTAGTGATATAAAGAAGGCAACCAAATTTAATCCCTGAGGAGTTGGACAGTGAGTGGTGCAGTCATGTGGCTTCCTAATGAGAACCTGTGAGTCCTGGATCAGCCTCGGGACACACAAGCATCGGTCCAAACTAACAGTAATACAATTAATGTGGTTTGCTATCTATCTCACACAGAAAAGCCAGGACCGGTCAAAAAAGTTTACAGACATAAGTGGACTCGTATAGGTGCTCTTTGAGTCAGAAATGTTGATGGCAATAAGTTTTTTCAGATATTTTTGAGCAACCTGTTTACAAAAATGTTAAACAGATTGTATTCAGTGTCTTTTGAGCAATGACATCTCTTCAGACAAAAGCATCAGACGTACCCTCTGTCAGAAAAGTTACACAGTGCACTTTTATTATACTTTTTCTTTCATTTATTTATTTAATCGGGACAGTGCATATTACTAAACATTTGTAATAACAATGTAAATCTATCAGTTTATAGTAAAAATGCTCATTTCCACTTGTTGTCCCTAGGCAGGTGGCACAGAAAACAATACAAAATGCATAACAGACAAGAGACAGAACACAGAACAGTAAAAGGCCAGATGAATAAATACCAAATAAATATCAAAGTTGTGTTACCCACTCTCCAGTTCCAGATGATTTAATTATATAGTTTTGAATTATTGTATCTGGATTAATGTATTAACACAGAAAACCCATTCTTTCCCATTCAAAACCACTATTGTCCCAGTCTCAGCTGCATTGTAACGGCACACTCACATGATGTTACACTCCCCACGATGAGCCAGGCCTAATGTGCAACAGTAAAACCCTGCAAAGAAACCAGTGTTTGAGAATTATTCTGAAATGTCAGCCATGAAAATCACCCACAGTGAACGAGCCAGAACATGACTGCATTGCGATCACGCTGACAAGAACAGTTACAAATGCAAATTAGCTGCAGAATGGCACATAAAGACACACAATGGTTTGCAATTATGGTTTTTGAAGCTACATGCAGCAGTAAAGTCCTACTGTCAGGCAATGTAAAGTAAACAAAAAGGCTTAAAAGGCCCAACACTGCATAACTGACTCCTGTGAGCTTTTAGTCACATTAGAAAATTGTTATCACTTCAAAACATATGCAGACTTGTGTTTTGTTTCTGTTTCCATACAGATTTGAGTAACTCTTTATTATTAGTCTGTCTCATCTCCAAAGCTCAAAATGCTCTGCTCTACCTTGTGATGTCATGAAGTGGTAGTTTTCAAGTTAACAGCTACCTTTTACCTTTAGTTCAATAGAGACTGGCAATTCCAAACATGAAAGTATCCAAATGACTCTACTGAATGTGTATGGAGTTTAAAAACACAGTGACGTACTTCTTGTATTACCACACTAAATCACAAGTGTTCTTTTTGTTTATTTGAGAGAATGATTCAACCAAAAAATGCAGAGTTTGTATGTGTGAACAAAATAAAACACAACTCCAGGTATGTTTGTGATGAGGAAACAACATTATGACAGAGCTCAGAAAATAGTATACCTTTAATGACATTTGTCTCACTTTGACTTGTTACAAAATAATTGCACAATTGAGTTGCACACTTGAATGCCAAGAATTAGTTGCAGAGAACCAGGGCAAATATTTTTCAGGAAGACTTTAAGAAAATAAAGGCACAGCTCTTTACAGATCCAACCCCTGCAAACTTGTAAAAAAATATACATAATGTCTTGGTATTTTGAAGAACATAGTAATCAAACAATGTTATGCCAAGTCAAGCAGTCAATTAGCATAGAACTGTGAAGGTGGCTGGAGTACTCTGATGCTCAAAGTTAAAATAACTCCTGTCTCTTGAGTAAAATGCATATAAACAGCTTTCCACCTATGGGCAAAACTCCTTTTGGTAAGCTGGGAATACAGTACTGACTCATAGCATACTACCGTACATGTGTAGTCTTTGGTTTAAAAGCTCAAATACACATGTTCCATAATATCCCGGTCAGGGCCTTAGACAAGGACAACTCATTAAAAAACATTTAAATCCCCCAACACACATGCTTTTGGTACTTGATAGACAAGAAAACATAAAACATGGAAAAACCTTGCCACTCCACTGTAACATTGAACCTACAGACTTACTGCTGACAAACAGAGAGGCTAATCAGTCTGTTATTGTACATCACTGAATAAGAAATAATGTAGCTCAGAATGAACTCAGCAGAGACTCCATGTAACAGACATATTCAAATGAGGACAAACATAGCAGTATTTTGTTTTGTGTATTTCCCCCTGTTGACTAGAATGCCATATAGTATATTATAATACACGCTAGCACAGGTTGAACTTCTTCTAGATGCTGTCTCCACAACAGAACAGTGTGGGTGGTCTGAGGACAACGATGTATAAAAATGGCAGGATAATAGAAAAAATGTGCGCCTATGCAGAAATAGCTTCACACAGATGTCGTGGATAGTGGACTAGTTTCCATGGAGACAGATAGATAGTCTTTGGCAACTCCTAATAGTTCCCCGATCCACCACCACAATTTTAGTTTTCTTAAAAATGGCCCAGTTTAGGCAGAAAAGGCAAATATATGAGGATAAGAAGACTTGTTGTTCAGGCTTGACTGCAAATATAGCAAATATACTGCAAATCCTAGACAGCCTATAGGCTCTTAAGTAAATAACAGGCTTACAATGAATCCTTCAAATTTACATAAACATGTTAAAATTAGCAGTAAAAATAATAAAATAATGGTGTATTATCATAAATACAGTATTTCAAGTAGATGTATTTGAAATGCATAGTACACTCACTTTCCTGATAATCCTATTTCTGATTATTTATTTAGCTACTTGACGTGCTTAATCCCAGGGTGATAAGAGTTGCACAGGAAAGGCATCTGGAATAAAATCTATGTCCATTATTGTGTTCGTAAACTCAGTTAAAGTTTTATAAATTATAAGGTTTATTTTGAAGTAAAAGATAAAATAATATAATTAATATGCACAGTACTTTACTATTATCACAGACAAAGTACATACGGTATAGCAAACATGAGACCTATCAGGACTGTCTTTTTGTCATTTAAGTTGTATGTAAAATCTTCATAAAAACTTTGCTTTCTTTCTTGTAAATGTCCAATTACATTGGGCATTAACGGTACTGTCTTTTGAAACTCACACTGAGACATGAGTTAGCTCAAGTTCATGTCACTTTGCAGGTTTATAATGATACTGCAGGTATCTGAGAACTTCATTAGATGCTAAATCTTCATCTTTTATCCAAACAGTGGCCCCAGGTCTGTGTAGTGCCCCCTGTAGTTCACATGAGGCGTGTCCCGTTATTGTCCATGGCTATTTTAGGCAGCTGCTGCAGCTCATCTGTCTGTTAGAATCGATGTGAGGCGAGATTGTGTCTGGAACCACTGACTTCATGATGTCATTCTCCGTCGCCATAATGTGTTTGACCAGGAAGTTGGCTGCGTCATTAATATTGAGGTTATCCTAAAGCAGAGACAACATCAGTGCATCATAGTGTGAAATATTAGTACTAAAAGTAATAGCCCCGTATACCAAACCACAAACTCTCAAATCTCTCTGTGCACTGTATATAACACCAAACAAATAATGCATAGTCATAACGCTATATCTTTTCCTTTTTTATTGGGAGTAAATTATGCAACAAAATTGTTATTGTGTAAATGGGGTACATTTGCTACTGCAAGTAATGCCAGTACTAATCTATTAGTTTTTTTTTTTTTTTACTATTCCATGGACGTACTATTTGGGCTACGTCAGCACAAAATTAGAGGAAGTAAGGTTTGCTCAATAGAACTTCAAATGCAGCAGAACCTGGTAACACTTGACCTCAGAGAATGTAGAGTGCTCATGTTACAAGGTTAGCAGCACATTTAGAATACATTAACAGCCCTCTGCCAACATGAATGCATAAATAAAGGCAACAATAACAAGATTTATTGTTTGGGTGTTTATGAAATAGTTTCACTGTTGGATTATTGTGAGAGATTTTTGACAAACAAAGCACACCTTTCTATAGAACTTACTTTAAGTACTTCACATCTCTGACTAATTGTTGTGACCCTGTGTTTTAAATACATTTTCCACACGCATATGAAATTCCAGTGGCCCTTTTTTAACAGCGTGTAATCTACTTAACTGTTTATTGTATAATGCTTACCTTGATAACCATCTGTACAATATTTAGCCACTTACACAACATACTGGTGCAATGTAATGCAACACACTTTAACTAAACTGAATTTACCTCTTCAGCAATCTGAGTGACAGGCCAGCTTACACTTCCCACGTATCACCTGTTGCCGTTCACCTCTATTCGCTCTTGACCACATTTGATTGACACTGACTGACCGATGCAGACCACAAAGACCCCATAATATATACAGTTTTGCAGTCTTATAAATACAGTTCCTCCTACCTCAAAGTCTTCTGTGGTTTGCAAGGTAAATCTGACATTTATTTTGTTTGAAAATCTGAAGTTCTTAGAGTTTAAGGTTTTAGGTGCACTGTGTAACAATAGTTACAATAGTGGGTCCATCACCATCTTGTTTCGATGAAAATGTAATTGCTCTGTGTGAACTATTCTACAGTATGACATTAAACAGATCTACATTACATTTTTTCAATTAAAGTTGTCACTCCACAGATCTGACCTGTAACTTGGTCAGGTTTGGTCTACATGATGATAGAAAGGTTTAATACAATACTGTGAAACATTCCAGACAATAACACCTCCACGGAGACCCTCAACCAGAAAAATTACACAGTGCACCTTTAAAGGCACAACGGAGGCTAATAAATGTCAAAGATGCAACTTATGTCAATCCAAAAACATATATAAAACATACAATTTGGCATGTGTTTTATGTGGTTTAAAAACTATCAGGGATAGGCCATTGAATAGTTACATATATTTGACTAGGTATTGAATATTTGGGTAGCTGTAATGTGTCTTATGTGCATAAACCATGAATGGGAAATGTACTTTTGAAATACCAAAGCTCTTTGCAGACTTACCTTTGCTGAAGTCTCAAACCAACCAGCAAATCCATGGTCTTTGCAGAATTGGTCCATTTTGATGCAGTTGTTGGTGAGCTCTCTGCCCTGGTCGCACTTGTTTGCCAGTAACACAGTGGCGATACTTTGTCCATTTGGCAGCATGAGTTTAGAGTCTAGGTCCTCTTTCCACTTTATCACAGCCTCAAATGTTGTAGGCCGTGTCACATCAAACACTATGAAGGCCCCCATAGCTTCACGGTAGTACACTCTTGTCATGTTGCCAAAGCGCTCCTGGCCTGTTAAAAACATGTAATTTGTATTGAAATGACAGTATCTACTTTAGAATCAAATAGAAACAAAAATGTATAATATTCATATTGGCCGTCTCACTTTAAGTGCAAATCATCAGCTGACATTGACATTGACTTCAGAATGCTAGTTTTCCAATGAAACAGCACATTCCTGAAGTCTCACTGTCACGTTGTATCAGGCAATGCTCTCAAAGCAAGGGTTTGTTTTAGACCAAAATTTTAATTTAAACTAACTAAGCTAAACAAAAATTCTGTGCAAATTATGATACCAACATAACATTCACATTTGAGTCATGAATTCTGTGTTTGAAATCTTTGTCCTTTGTCACTGTCACCTGTATTTGTTTAGAGGTGTCCAGTGCAGGAGTGGTTAAACACAAAAACAGTCACTAACACTGACATTAACATGATGTGTAACTTCAGTGAGTCAGTCATGTTTGACAAAGAACTTCCTCATGTTTACAGTTGTTTAAGTTGTACAAATACATAACACATTTTTTCCACTGGGCCTGTATTAGACAAACTGATTATGACAGGTGCTCAGGTGAAGGCCTACTCTTAATCTCATTTGGAGCAGACAAATTGAACAAGCACGTGTCTGACTGTCTGTGTGGGTGATAATGATGACGTTTTGTTTTTATTTGTCCACAATGGCCCTCCTGTGCCTTCCCTGTATTTGTCTCACATGCCCCAATCACATGCTGCTGCCCCATACCTTGAATGAATGACTGGATGACAGTGTGATGGTTCTGTCTGGGCACCACCTCTGCCTCCGTCTGCGCGCGTGTGTGCGCATGTACGCACGTGTCAGAGCAGAAAGTGGCCAGGCACTTCTCCACAGTGACTTAGCATCTGCTGTGACGCTTTCATAACTTTACAACGGTCATATTTCATCATGACTTAACAGATGTTTGTTAATGTTTAATAGTTTGACTAGTTTGACTATGTTTTACATCAATATGGATATTTCTAGTTCATCTTAGTATAAGCAATAGCCCAAATGACCAGTTCATATAGACCTGAGTAACACACCTGCGATGTCCCAAAGCTGGAGTCTGATGGTCTCAGAGTCCCAGTTGAGCACTTTGAGAGCGAAGTCCACTCCAATCGTGGCCCTGTAATTGGTTGAGTACGTCTGGTGCACGTAGCGCCTAATGATGGACGTCTTACCGACCCCCAGGTCCCCAATGACCAGCACCTTGTACAGGTGCTCCTTCCGTAGGCTCTGCATTCCGTTGGTGGGCGGCGTGTGGTGGCTGTTCATGTCTCCCGGTGTGCGTCAGCTGATCCCCACTGGACGTCGGTCTGTCTCTGACTCGCCCCCGGTGCCAGTGCGCAATGGGAAGTGCGTGATCGGCACAGGGGCTGGACCGAGAAGCTTGTGACCTCTTCACGCCAGAGGAATTGCGCACAGTTCTTTTAAGGGCCACTTAAGCGCAGTATTTAATATGCTTTAACCAACAACGTCTCCAGTCCCAAAGACATTTTGCACGTTTACACTTTTTTTTTTTTGTGTTTACACTTAAGTCACGTGCTCCGTGTAACTTTACGCGGGAGGGGATTTTTCACAAGTGTCATCTTTTGAAGCTATAACATCAATTGTTAACTTATATCAAGTGTGATTGGTGTCTTAACATAACATAGCAAGTCAAGAATTACTACAGTCAAGTCAATAAGAAGGCTTATAGCCTATTTATTGGTTTATTTAGTCAATATAAAAACAGAAGATAACATTCATTAATTACACAATTCAAAATGCAAATGTACAGCAGATCTAAGCTTCAACCATACGTTAGTGAAAAAGACCATATAAAACTAATACTACTCTGATTCTTTAGAAATATTCTTGGTTTGTAGTTAATTAACTAACACAAACAATTTTAGTGTACATTTGATAGTCACACAATCTCATCCTGAGCATGCCCCAGAGCAAAAATGTCTTGGTTATTCTTACAACTGAATTAAAGATTCAGTTGCATTAGTACTCAGCCCCGTTTCCCTTTTTTTCTAATCTTACTGTCCCCAAAAACATGTAATATAAATAAACAGAAATATCATGCAAAAGTTAAACATCATATTCAAATTCAAAGTAAACCAAATATTAGAAACGTTCATTGACGAAACGTTTGGTTTGGTCCATTTTCAACATTCAAGTCACAAAATGTTCTATCCATAATGGCTTTGTGCTGTGTCCTCTGAAAAAAGACATTATTTTTGAAAAAACTGTCTTTCTCAGAAAAGCCTTGTTGACCAGGTCATTTATTCATTTTACCCAGAAAGAAAATAATGGAGGTTTGACCTACACATGTCTACATATGAGAGAAAGAAATGTTAAAAGCTACAAGCTTTTAATGCAAAATCTAACCCATAACTATTGTATATATTGTAAAAGTACAGTGTGTAACACCTTCACATTTGGGTCCCAATGTTAATTAATGTGCAACCAAGCAGAGGATATATTGTAGCTACAAGGGAGATTGTCTTTACGTTCTAAGGTATGTACCTTACAGGTTATTGTTACATATATATTTAAACTACAACACATTTTAATTTCAAATGTAAATGCCCATTTAATGATTCATAATGCTGAAATTATAAAGTTATAAGCCCTCATAGCTGAAATCTAGACTCTAGTGGTTATAAAGTGGTTTAGAGTGATGAGGAGCTCTGGCTGTAGTGCCTGAGGAGTAGCTGATCGTAGTCTGCATCAGAAGGGGGCGACAGAGAGGGGGGAGAGCTGCTGTTGGACCCCAGTGAAGAGTCTCTGAACGGGGACGGAGGGGTGAGTGCTGCCTGGTCCTCTCTGTCTTTACCCCGTCTCACCCCTGTCCCACTCAAATACACCATATCCACAGATCGATTCTCACAAAAACTGGGCACCGCTGTCACCTCTGCGTACGTGGTTACTGTGCTCTTTGACGTTATGTATTGTTGAGAAGGACATTGGCTTGTGTCTCCAGACATAGGCAGGGGACTATTGGGGTTGATGGCGCCAACTCCAGGTAGCATCATGGTATTGAGCTCACTGATGTTGGCGGTAAAGCGATTCACCACACAGCTGATTTGATCCATAATAGTTATGCCTTGAACATGCCCACTGATCATCCCTATACCAATATCTCCAACTCCAATTGCACTGATATCCGCACAATCAACTAAATTACTGCTTTGGCTCTCAACTCTTCTTCTTAATGAATGATCGGGGATATACGCAGTCAAAGCTTCGTCTACATCCTCTTCTTGGAAACTTGTGCGTTTAGCTCCTTGCTGGTTAAGTAAAGGCGACTGAGATGGGGAACAGTTAAAAGATTGAGGCTCCATGGATTCTTCATAGTCCTGTATTACTCCAGTGTCAGCAGAAGAATTGGCTTTAGAAAAGGGTTTGATTATGGCTGTCTGGTTAGTTTCTACTGGGTCCTTCTTCTTAACATGGAACGACATGCGTTTCCACAAATTGGGTCGATAGCTTCGTTCATTCTGTGCCCAAGTTACAGATTTTCCATTGGAGCTGTAAAACAAAATACCAATTGTACACACATTAACAATAATGTCCAAATGTAGAGATAATTTCTTACTAAATACAATTTTTAAGTAGTGCCAAAGAGAGTTAATGGATTTTTAAGAGTCAAAAATGAATATGTGAGAAGATTTAACTGCAATATAATAGATAATATACACCCCTAAATAACAGTATGCCCATTAAAAGCAAAATTGTATATATCAGTGCCTTTTATCATTTGTCTACCATCCTCCATCTTTCTGTGATTTTATAACCACCTTCATTTCTTTTATCTTCCCTCGAAAGAGAAACCCTTAAAGGAAGGTCTCCTCTGGGAGCGTTTAACCCAAATGAAGAAGCCTTTTCTCAGTTAACAAGCCCTTGATCTCAGCTTTGTCGTCTGTTGCTATGGATTCAGACAGGAGTCTATGTAATCGTTTACACTTACAGAAAACATGATACACGATATTCTAAATTAAGGTTTTGATTAAAATAAGAATAAATCACATGTTTTTTTCTATCAGATATTGGACAGGCCTATCAAAGCCCATGCATCATTCATCACCTATCCATACTTGTAAAGGATGACCCTGCTTGTTTCTGATCCTGCTGACTCGCCTGATCCCTGTTAACCTATTTCTGCTGTTGCTCAATCTGCAATAAAGCCTTGTCAACTGTAGTTGTATTTAGGTTCAAATTACACTCCCCATTACATATATTTATTGGAGATAGAACCCCAAGGAAATCTTACTGGACATACAGAGAGACATGTTGTGTACTTTGCATGTGAGTGATAATGTGCTGGCTGATTATTAGTGCAGGTAATTACTGATTTTCTCGTACCTGATATTTTCCTGTCCAGAAGCACGGCGTCGGAACAAGTTGGCCATGCTGCTGGAGGACTTGCCAACTTTAGCAGCTTTCTTGGCGTCTCCGACATGCATCCGCACAACAGTGGAGGTTGTGAATGCACTGCGCACATTCTTCTCAGGTTTGGCCAGCATGATGTACACCTGGAAGAACAAGCACTTATAAGTAGATGTAATAGCATAGACTTTTCAACAATAAATCACTCACCTTTGGTACAAACATGCAGCAGAGAGCTACAGTGGCACTAAGGCTTACACTGAAGCACATAGTGATGATCTTGTAATTGGAGCCAAAGTAAATGGGAACAAAAGCCAGCCAGATGATGCAGGTGGTGTACATGGTGAAGGCAATGTACTTGGCCTCATTGAAGTTGGCAGGAACATTGCGGGTCTGTTGCACAAAAAAAAGCTTTTTGTTATTACAGCTAAAATGGGCTGTATTTGCCAACCAAACATTTGTGGATATGCTTCAATAAATTAATTATTTCCATCTGCATTATTGGTTCTCGGTGCATAGTTATATCAACTTCAGAAACTGAAATATATTTTGTAGTTGTATACATTCTTATGAGTGACATAGTTTTGTATCACAGCACCCAAATAATAAAAAAAAAATAGGATCAACGAGAATTTAATAAATACACAAGCGCTAAATCATAATAATGTCCAGATAATATCTTGTCCAGCCTGGTGAAACATTTGTGCTTTTACCTTAAAGGCATAGAAAGTGCAGCTGAGGATCAGAAGGCCATTGTAACCCAGGGGAGCCACGACCCCTAGAGTGGTGAGGTTACAGATGAGGTGCACCTCTCTGATGCTTGGGTAGTCATAGATCACCTAAGAGAAAAAAATAATACTTTGTTTCTCAATGTCTGTCTCTTCTTATTGCTCTGCAGCCCTGTTCCATGTGTAAATGCAAAGGCATCTGCCCATAGGCACAGACCTGTGGTGGCTCAATGATGAGCAGGGCCACGATGATGCCCAACTGCAGCAGGATGAGGATGAAGGCAATGATGAGCTGAGCACAAGCCGACATGAAGCGCGGTTTCTTGGTGCAGATTTTCTTTTTGCTGCCAGCCAGGATCCGTGCAATACGGTTAGTCTGTGACAAAATATGAACGCTTTATCTACTGAGGATAGTCCATGCCATTTACATTTGCCAGAGATCATTAAGAGAAATCTCAGCCCACATTAAAAGGCACAACCTTCTATAGGGCCTTAAAGCTGCCACCCACAGAGGAGATTATTCTTAGCATTATTCCTTAGTTACGCCATATTTATGCTACATCCCTATATAAGATGTAAACCATAATAATTGTTGTATTTGGACTTACACTACACTTAATACAAAATATTATATTTTATTACCTTTCCAATATGAAGGATCATGTAACAGTTTTCAAGGATTTATTATTTGAAGGATGATGTATTTCTCTAATTTATTAGTAATGTTTTATTGGTGTAACATATCATCCTATTGAATGACGTACCTTGGTAACAAGAGCAGAGTAACTCATGGCAGGAGACAGCCCAATGCCCAGCCGCTGGAGGTAGCAGTAGATTATGTGGGGTTTAGCAATAAGGCTAAAGGTACACAGGTATCCCAGGCATATTCCAGCTAGGATTATGTAACATAACTCTCGACTAGATGACTTCACAACAGGAGTATCCCAAAATCTATGAAAAAACAACAAGATATACATATATAATGCTACTTTTTTTAACCTAATTAAAATATACGATATAGATTACAAAATTTTGATAGAAATATTTTTACTTAATAAATACAGATGTGACAAAAAGTGTGGCCAAGAGTCCCAAACAGGCAAAAACAACAGCAGCAATGGGCTCCGGATCTCCCCAATGAAGATAGTGCACTGGGATAGGCTCACAACCTGCACAATATGAAACAATGTATTCTCTGTCAGAGAACTAAATATACTGTTATACATTTATATTTTCACATATTCTTACATTATTGTTTTAATTATGCCTAAATATTTTAACCAGACCATTATAAAATCCAGATGATTTGCTTTGAACCATTTAAATATAGCCAACACCATTTATTTTCTAATTTTAAAGGATAATACATTTTTTACATTTAATTTTTGGCTGTGCTTTTTTCGGGTTAAACTGTAAACGTAAAATCACCATATTTAAAACATGCATTTTTGGTTTTGTGTTTTCACACAATTCAAATTCATTCTTGTGCACTTGGCGATTCCCAACTGCTTTTCTTCCTATCTCAAATGGTCTTAACATGAGCCAAACTCATTATTTGGCAACATTTCAAATGTCTGGCAATTGTCAGTGTGTCTGCTTGTTTATGTAATATGCAACAAGATCTGAGACTGTATGACCTACTTTAAAATCTCACTTGGCTGGGTTATCCTGTGCAATTTTGTATCTATTTGTGTTTTTTAGTGGCTGTGTGTTTTACCTGTGAGGTCGGTGTTGGGCCAGGACCCCAGGGTACAGGCCTGACAGGTATATTCATCAAACACAAACTCGTTCTCCTTACAGGGCGTGCAGGTCCAGCAGCAGCTCACCTCTCCTTTACGGATCACCTACACACACACACACACACATACACATACACAAGTTGGGTTTCCATTCTAGGAGACAAAACATTGTCTGTAGTTGATCTAATAATAAATCATTTATGTCAGGGAGCCCAGATTTTTGTTCCCACAAATGAGGCAAGTCCCCATGATGTGAGCTTGTATAAGATTTTAGTCCCCACACTGTGATAAATGCCCACCCACATGGACACACAGGGCTCAAAGCTCTGAAGGCACTCTGCTGTAGCTAATCTTGCACTTTGACTTTGGAAATGGCCCATTAGCATTTCTCTGTCAGGGGAAAGACAACTTGCACTACATTAAAGAGCTCTGTGTCTGCTGATATAGTATAGTTCTATATAGTTATAACAGGTAGTTATTCAACATACAGTAGTTAGGGTAGATGCATAAAATAAGTAAAATAACAGGTACAGGTAAGTTAAATAAATAAGTGAAATAATGTTAGTAATTTCATTTTTTGGATTGCCGTTGTCAATGCAAGAAATGAAAAAAGATAAGGTATGTATGGTAAAATAGCTGTGTATCAGTAAAATGTGTAGAATGTGTCTCTGCAATTAGAAAAGAAAAAGAAATACAAATTAAATACACATTATGAATATAGGTAGGAGAGAGAAAGTATTTGCTTAATTATGAATGAAATGTGAGATTCAAACATTACATAATAACTTATTATATAAGATGTACATCACTTAAATACTAATGAATCATCTAGAATAGGTGTTTCCTTTTTAAATGCAAACTGAATAAAAATTAATATTACTAATATCACAGACTAATTTAAAACTATACAGCAAAATCTATACTAAATACATGACACATTAGTTTTAGATACCAAAGGCTCCAGCTTGAACTTCCAAACTTCCATCAAAATTAAGAAAAAGAAGAATCAGATCCAGTATATCATAATTATTTCATTTTGCTATGACTCCTGAGGATCACTCACTTTGATCTGTCCTTTTTGGCATGGCTCGGAGCAAAGGGAGTGGATAATTTCACTGTTATTGCTCCAAATTTCCTCATCGTTCATCTGTAGTCCACCCTGGTCCCAGCTGCCCACGTGAATGTACGCATACTCATCTTCTCCAACCAGCTTAAAGTTCATGATTTCATATCTGCATAATAACATCATAGTTCCTTTATTTAGTATTTAGTTCATCAAATAGTACATGTGTCTTTCCTTACCTTCCAGGTGAGTCTCCATTTTGGTCAAAGTGAATCACCTCTCCAGAAACACCAGTGAAGTTTGTTTTCATGAGGAAATCCAGCAGTTTTCCACCATCAATAGGCCGCATGTTCTCACACAAACCCTAGATAAAACATGATTCCATATTTAGTAGTTTGTATTTTAGTATGGATAAGGTTGATTGCAAAATCCAATTTGTTTTTTTTCTATTACAGTGAAAATATTCAGAAGGAACAACAGGTAAATTCTGAGTACATTTTTTCTGAGTGCAATTAAACATCTACTATAAAGCCATTCATACGCCAAAGCACAATACCTTAAAGCCTGGACACAGGGACTGCTGCATGGTATGTAGACCATAGGCCATTGAATAGATAGCATTTATCACAAATCCCATCTTAGTATCTTGGGCATATTGTTGGCGCAAAGATTCTCTCCCTATGCAAGAAAGACATTGAAAGAATAACATTTAAAACAGGGTTCTCCAATACCTCCTTGTTTTGCTTTGTCAGGAATGTTCCACAGTATGGCATTAACTCTCCCTGCATCATACATTCTAAGCAAGATTTTCCTCTCCACATTTACCTAGTGGCATCAGCTACTTGTATTCATGCAGATAAATACATAGGTTTAATATCATACTGTGCAACATTTTTGGAAAAGCAAATAACATCTCCATATAGACATGCAGATTTCGCATCATCAGCAGAAATATTACATCGTGTAAGTACAGTTATTGTTATTGTTGTTATTTATCAACGTTTTGATGATAACAGATAGACAGATTTTTAAGATAAACGGCTGAAGTGCACTAACATGTACAGGTGCGGTTGTAGATGGTGTTCTCCTGCGGGTGCCCTCTCAGCCTGCACTGGAAGCGGTGCTGCCAGAACTCAGGGAACCACGGGTTTCTGTAGTTGTTGTCTGGCTTTAGATTTAGGTAATAATCATCAAACCAGGTCACATGGGCAGACTTCAGCTTTATGGTGATACCTCCTGCTGCCTCTCTCTCATAACCATCAGTTACATCGTACCGGTCTGCCCAGCCATCACTGCAAGGAGCAAGAACACAGAGGTAAATGTAGGAACTTATCCAAAAATGTATGCCTTTTGGATCCATGTAAAAAAGGCATTTCTGCGTCTTTTGTTATGAAGATCCACACATTTGAATAAAACTCCCTAGCTTTTTTTTTTCTTTTTTCTAGTTTATAACATTACTTCCTGGTTGAACATGGAAAATATGTATGTATGATTCAATAACTGTTACCAGCAACTATAATGTTGATGAACAGATGGGCCAAAAATGGAATTATGGTGTTAATGACAGAGAGGTACTCCATTTGAAAGCTCACTGCTACTTCCTGTACTTTCGTAATAAATATGAAAATCTGTTATTTGCACTTTAACACTCTGGACTGGGAACATCCAAAAAAAGCAGCAGTAGGAGATGCTCTGACCCTGTTGCTCAGTCCTCACAATGTACCACTTATCAAAGTCACTCTCATCTTCACATTGCCCATTTCAGTTTTGAAGACAAGATGTTGCTATCTAACAGATTCCACCCACTAACAGGTGCTTTCACAATGACACCATCTAATTTCACCTCACCAGTGCGGATAAAATTATGCTTGATGGTTTATCTTATGATGTCTCTTACCAAGCCGTGTATTTACAAAAACAGAAGCTTCTCACAACTCCACAAATTAGGCAAATTTGTGTCAGCTTAACCCTTTCTCATTTATCTGTGCCATATAAAAAAAGACAAGAAAAATCTTATTAAACTTAGCAAACTGCACTGCCGTTACACAACAGCTGAGTGGGTGTTTTATGTGATTCTTGTTTCTCTTGGTGAGGCAGGAGATCATTTCATAACACATCCTTGAAGCAGCAGCCGGCACAAAAATAACACTGGTATAAAAGGTATTGATGGATCTGAAAGGCTTTGACTCTGATAGTTTGAATCACTTTTGAAAAAGAGCTGTGTATCCCACGCAGTGACCGACCAAGCAGGGAGAGGTGCACAGCAGGGCCCTACCTCCTACAGCCGAAGACACATGCTCCCATGTACACACTCCAACATGGCATCACCGCTTTTTCAATATGGACTCATTTTACCTTACGCTCGATGGGGCGGGCTTAGTTCAGCAACAGTTTGGAGAGGGTTTTAGAGAGCTTTCAAGAGCCAGTGAGAATGAGATCAGTAACAAAGTCCTTCCCATATTTAAAACATTGTCTATAAATATGCCCTGAAAGATAACTGAGAATCTGTAGTGAAACAAAGTATTCTACTCCTTTTCACTCTATTTTTGTCAGTTTTTATGGGCCCAGTTGTCTCTCTGATAGATCAATTTTTCTTGTTGCATCTTATTAATGATAATAAACAAAATAAAATGTACAATGTTTTATGGACTTATGGGTAACTGATTCCATCTGGCTATAGTCTTATAATTGGCAAACTCCAAATGAATTTCATGCAAATGTGTTAAGCAGCAACATTTTTGTGAGACTAGTAACAGTTTCTTGAAGGACACATTTAAGAACACATTTGGATTTTCCATTTGGATTTTCCATTATTTTGCACATGCATGTCTTTTGGCAGTAGACAGAAGTTGGAGTATTCACAGAAAATCCACTATAACACAGAATGCAGTTTCTATCAGGACAAACTACACACTAATCATTGTGTAAGCAGACACATTAATATGTGAATGAATAACAATGAGAGAATGTGTGAAACACACTTCACACTATTAAAACAGTTAATCATCAAAACTGAGAGTGATGTACAAAAGAATAATGAGCATAAACAAGGTTTGTTACTGTATATAAACATAGTGTATAGAGAAATGAATGACTGAATGACTTGACACAACACAATGCTGCTGTCAGTGGATTAAAAATACCCTTTTGATTATTACTATCTCCTCTGCTTGGTAACGCTGTGTGGCAGTTTTGCTGTATGTAGTTCAAGGTTACTTTATGTTACTGTCAGGTTTGAGCGACAGCCTACATATGTAGCTCCTAATGAGGAAAGGCATTTATAGAACATGAGAGATGAGAGTGAGCCAGAGCAAATCCTTAAAATAAAACTGGTATTCTTGGAGGCTGAATCCTCCTGCCAAATGATGCCCAGTTTATTTGCGTGCTTTAATTGCTTAGTTACCACGTCTGAAACCCCGGAGACAATACTTTACCCGTGAGTGAGATGGAGATGCAATGACGAAAATGGTGAAAGGACTAAGATGGTCTTTCAACAACATTCGGTGACAACATCTGAACACAGCCTGGATGAACAAGAAGGCACAACACCACAAACACATCAGTGATTTGCAAACATTAGCATAGCAGAGTTACAGACAGCGCTGAGGCAGAGAATCACAGTACTGTTTTTATAAAGATGAAAAATGTGGTTATATAATAAACACATTTTATTATTTTTTTGAACATGTAAAAGTATATACAGTACACAATACAAGATATATGTGAACTACTTCTATACTGTGTACATAGTTATTAGGCACGTTGTATTTATAAAGATTCATTTTATAATTGAACAATTATAGTACTCTCAATCAATCCAAAATGTTCAAAGTTTTGGCTTTCTGTGAAGAAAATCTATGTGTGCACAATTATTGGGCAACTATTAATGTGCAGAATTATTATGTAACTAAATGAAGAATGAACATTTTCCATTCTCACTTGTTTACTTTCATGTCAGAATAGTAAAATCACATTTTATAAATAAACATTTCAAAATCAATCATTAAAAAAAATAAAATAAAATTCTGTGACCAATATAGCCACCCTTCTTCTCAATGACTGTCATAAGCCTTCTGCGGAGTCTGTTCGTTTCTTGGTCTGTTAATGATCAACTTCCTCTGCTGCATCAACCACAGCCTCCCAGATGCTGTTCAGAGAGGTGGACTGTTAGGTGAGGAAGTGGGTCATGGCATTATTTTTGCATCTTTAAAGTGTTTACTGGCTAGCCACGCAGTGGAGTACTTCGATGCATGCGATGGAGAATTGTCCTGCATAAAAATCATGGTCCTCTTGATAGATGCAGACTTTTTCCTGTACCACTAGTTAAAGAACGTGTCTTCTAAAAACTGGCAGTAGGTGTAGGAGTTCATTTTGAGTCCATCTTCAACGCAAAAGGTCCAACAAGCTCATCTTAAATAATACCAGGGGTGCCAGTCGCAAAAAAAAACATTGTTGGGTCCAATGAGGCACTTCACCCACATTACTTAGTATGAAAGGGGTGAGTGATGGTGGCGGTTGGAGGGGCCAATGGCACAGATTGGCAGCCTCGCTTCTGTCAGTCTGCCCCAAGGCAGCTGTAGCTACAGTAGTAGTTTACTAGTGTAGAATAGTGAATGAATAATGCTCTATAAAGTGTCTTTGAGTGTCTAGAAAAAAAGCGCTATATAAAAGTGATGCATTTATTATTATCTTTGCAATTTCAAGAGTGCTGCATCTCTCCAAAAACTTTTAGCAATTTTTGACTTTTCAGTTAAATCTCTTTTTTGGCCATTTTGCCTGAGGAAAAGAAGCTGCCTAATAATTCTGCACATCTTGATACAGAGTGTTGATCTCCTGAGGCTACACCGTCCCCTCATTAGACAAATACACATCACCTGATATGTTTAAATCCAATAACAATTCAAGTTTCTACAGCTTGGAGTTGGAGAATATGTGTAAAAATCAAATCAAAATGCCCACTTGCACAATTATTAGGCAAGTTGTCACTGTGTGCACAATTATAAGGCAAAGGTATTTTGACCATGATTGATTTTTATGCAACTCCAAGCTGTAGAAACTTGAATTCTTATTGGATTTAAACATGCACATAGTGTGTGTATTTGTCTAACAAAGAGGGTGCGGTCTGAGGTGTTCAGTACTCAGAGACAGGCTGAAGAAGGCTGAAACCCGACCACCACTGACCTATATTGAGAACTTGTGGGGCCTGGAGATTTACAGTGAAGGAAAACAGTTCACCTTTCTGAACAGCATCTTGGAGGCTGTGGTTGCTGTGCACAAAAACTTGATTGTCAACAGATCAAGAAACTGGCAGACTCCATAAATGAAAGGCTTATGACCATTACTGAGAAGAAGGGTAGCTATATTGGTCACAGATTTTTTATTTATTTTTTAAATGTCAGATATTTTTATTTGTACAGTTTGAGTTGTTTACTATTCTGACAGATGGAAATAAACAAGCGGGAATAGAAAATGTACATGTTTCATTTAAATGCATAATAATTCTGCACATTAATAGTTCAAATAACACTTTTACTTTCTAAAATATTCAGGTTTGAGGTTTATTAAGATTTTGGATTGACTGAGAGTACTGTAATTGTTCAGTTATAAGAATAATCCTCATAAATGCAACTTGCCTAATAATTATGCACACAGTGTACTGTACTACTTCATTTATGTTTTTTGTTGCTCATTGTACCTTAACAGTGTCTGTTATTTGTAGTCTTTCTTAACAACAAATTTTAATAATTAGTAAAGTGAATGTCATTTTCTGTAATAAAAAAATAAATAAATAAATAAATTTAAAAAATCCACTTACCTTCCCACCAGTAAGAACTCCCCCACCAGTTTCTGGCGTCTCATTGCCATCAGAATGCCCCGCACCGTCATGCCCTCACAGAAACAGGCCACTACTCGAGCTTTGGGCAGGTGACCTCGGAGCTTCTGCAGAAGTTTGTCAAAACTTTGTTCTCCAGCATTACTGTAAATCTTATCTGAGTGAGCAATGCAGAGCCCCTCTTTGGCAGCCATGTCCTTAAAGGCCTCCATGCCACTCTCACCATAGTTACCTGAGAAGAGGAATACAAATGTTTTCACATAAGGTGCTTTCACATTTGTTCTGATTTGGTTCTGGTTTGAGCCCAGTTTAAACCTGATGTAGTTTGGCACTGTTATAGCCCTGGTTTAGTTCCTGCTTTAGTGCCTATTTGGATGTGATGTGTGAAGTTAGAAACATACATACAGACCCCGGGGAAAATATGCTAATTATTACATGGTGCATTTGGCAATACACTATGATACACACTTACTCTAAGCAACAACGGTAAATGTGATTAGTCTGATTAAAGATAGATAAAGACAATTACAAAAATATTGTGTTTGTGGACTTTCCTTAGGACAGACTGGTGAAAACTGCAGTAAAGGTTTTTTTGACTATCACTTAATGTCCCATACACACAATCAGTTCAGTTAAATATTTATACACAGTGTCATAGACTATAGACACAGTATCATAGAATGTGCTGGGGCAGGAAGCTGTGTACTACCAACTCTCTGGTGGACAATCAGCTATCCAAGTTACTACTTCGAGTCACATTATGGAAGACCAAGAATGATACTTACCCTCAGTGTGAATAGCAGACACATAGCTCCAGTTGTACCTCTTCACTATGTCCACCATCGCTCTGGCCTGTTGCATATCCGATGGCACCACCCTCAAGAAGTATTTATATAAACTCTAGAGATATGGTATTAGGAGAGTTAAGGTGAAAGTATTTTATTATCTTATGTCATGTTCTGTCTGTATATGTACATGCTACTGACTCCTGAACCTGAAGATATATTTTATGTTGGTCATGTACATTTCTGTCAGTGTCTTTGGAGCAACTTGTCAGTGGTGAGCAAAGAGTGCACCACCCTCATTATCAAGCTACAGATTAGTCAAAAGTACCTAGTTGCAGGATTAGCCTAAATTGTGGTTTTAAAGGTGCACTGTGTATCTTTTCTGGTCACCTATTAGCTTTGCCTAGAATGTTCCACAGTATAGCATTAAACATCTATCTAGTGTTTATTTCTTTTATATAAAACATATATTCTTACTGTAACTGTGGTTGCCTCTTCACAGATCTGACCTGTAATTTGGCCTGATGACATCTCCATGGGTATACTTAGGTTTATTGCCATACTGTAGTAAAACAGTATCTCCATACAAGCAGGTGGTGGGTCCTCTTCCAGTAAAATTACACAGTGCACCTTGATGTTACAAAGTTGAAGAAGTTCATAATGTTTTCTTAGTTAATTGTTTTAATTGTTGGTGAAGACAAAGTTGAAAGGCCCAACTTAAATCTAAGAGTCTTGTAAGATGAGAGGCCATTATTCTTGACACCATTATTCTGTAATGCTGTGTTTGACCAGTGTCAGTTACCTTGTCAGAGAGATCCATGCTGGTGGCGGAGTAGGCGATCTGGGGGATGTTGAAGAGTTGGAGCAGGTTCTGGACTTGTATGGCCACCGAACTGGACCCAGGGCCGATCAGTCCGACAATGGGCTTCTTCCCCTGCAGCAGCAGACTGCCCCCCTCCGCAGTGCACCGGCCCGCGTTGTCCTCCTCTTCGTTGGAAACAAGAGTGTCCCTGATAAACTCGATACTCTGCTCCAGCGCCACCGCCGAATGCCAACACGAATCCCTGGTGTTTAATGAATTGTTGTTTTGGCAGGATAGCTAAAGATAAAGAGTTGAACTAAGAAAACAAGAACAGCCAAACCTGATCTCACAGCCAAGGGAGATGTTAGGGAGGATATAAGGATCTGCATTTATTCTGTCCAAAGTATGCATCATCGCCTCCACTCTCTGGATCCCATACTGCTCACGGACTGCACCACACTTTCGCTCATGGACCTAGCAGAAAGCATTAAAAACATTCTGTTAAGTCTTGGTATAGATCCATATTTAGCCATTAAGTAATTTCAATTAATTTTTTTTTTTGACCTGTTGAGACCAGGTTTGGTACTGTTACAGACCTAATTTAGACAGTTTTCTAGCTTATACATAAATTAAAAGTGAATAAAACTTTTACTAAGTATATCTGAAAAGGTGTACAATGTAACTTTTGTGGTGGAGAGTCCATCACCTGCTTGAATGTTTCACTATATGGTATCTATCTCCATGGAGAGAAGCCAGATGCAGTAACAGATCAGTGGAAAGGTGACACCACTCACAATAAAAATACATGTTTTCAAAATATTTTTGAGCAAAAATGCTGGGTAGATCTGTTTAATGCTATACCATAGTACATCCAGGCAAAGCTATAACATCTCCATGGAGACAAGTGGGTGGCAGACCCATACCAGAAAAGTTACATAGGGCACCCGTAACTTAATCAGCTTAACTAGACAGTTAAATAAAATACAGAAAATCAGTGTTGCTGTTCTAAATAAGTCCTCAGTGTTCAAACAGCATCAGATGATTTCAAAACAATTCCCACCACTGATAAAGCACTAAACGTACCTTGTCTGCAGGGGGCTGGTGATGCACTGAGAACAGTGCTCCTATGATTATGTCTCCAGGCATATGAGCCAGCACCCTCCTCTCGTTGCTCTGGGCATTGGCCCCCACTGGGTGCTGTAAGCCACACAGGTACAGATCAGACCCCAGGAGAAGAATCAACATCCACGAGAGCACGGCCTGTCTGTGCAGAGTCCTGGGGGTGAGCACATGCACACCTGCTGCCATCCTGCCTGTCTGCCTCTTACACATGAAGTCCTGTTAGATGGCTTATGGAGGACTTGATGCCTGGAGTTATGATCCTGCATGAGAAGGAAAAAGGTTGTATGTGAAGATTAAATTAAGGTCCATAGAACAGTGTTTCTCAAATTTTTGTCTGGGGACCCATATTTTAAAGGTCACAAACCTTAACGACCCAAGTCAATAGACATTATTCATAAATCAAAAAATATGGTGGATTTGAGCATTATTGAACATTAATGAGGATATTTTATTGTTGACTGAGTGATTATGTCTATCTGAACAATTAGCATTACTCAAGTTTTAAACAACGAAAAACAGTCACTGAGCCTGTAATAAAAGGTATCAATAAGTGTAGCCCATTTCTTTTTCTTTTCAACATTCAATTGAACTAGCAATATTAGAACAAAATAATTACAAAAAGATTAGAAATTAGACCCAGTCTTTGGGAAACAATGACTTAGAATATATGAGTTGTGGGTTGAATTGACCTTTCTATAGATCTGACCCATAAGTTGGTCTAGTGGCTCCATCTGCTTGCCTCCATAGAGATGGATAGTGCCATACTGTGGAACATTACAGTTAAAACAATAAAATATTCATGGAGATAAGCAGATGAAAGCACAGAAAAAGTTACATTGTACATCTTTAAATGATCATAATTGTACAGATACAGTAAAATCTGTTTAAATCTAATATTTATCATTGACTGCATTGCCAAGAATATAATAATATATAAAAGCAACACAAAGCAACAAGTTTACAGGAAAGTAAGTAAACCTGCTGAGCGGTCAACTATGAGCACAGGTCGATGGTTCAGTTCAGGCCCTACCAGTTGTTTATCTCAATAGTAAAATCATTTCAGTAAAGAAACTATGTTACATAAATAAGATGCTGTTCTGTGTCAGTCTGTTTTCATAGAAACAGTTTTAAACTTACCTCTCCATCATCC